ATTTCTGTAAGAATTTTTTTATATTTTCTGTGAACTTTACCGTTCACCTAGTAAAATTTACAAAGAAAAATTTTCGAGAACGTTTGAATTTTTTGAGGGAACTCGCGAAGTGAGGTAAATTATCCCATGATTTAAAATATTCGAAAACGATATTATTTTTCTGAAATTTTATATTTGTAATTTGCACTCCGAGAAATGGACCAGCGTCCAGAGTCCTATTCGAAAAAATAGTACTTATGGTTCGAATAACTTGAGATTCGGTAGGTGCATTGCTCTCTTAATTAGATTAGCAGGAACACTACTTTAATTTCTAATAATCTTATTTATTGTTCAATTCAGTTAAAATTATGTTCTTTTCGAGTAGTAGAGCGATTTATTGAAATAAATTTTATTTATTGGCACATATACATGATCTATATAGTAACAAATAATTAGTTACGCATTTATTTTTCATTTCTTTTGAACAAAACTACGCATTATATTCGATTATTTAATGTTACTTTAAGAAAGGCTATACTGGCAACCTTGTATAGCAACGAAAAATGAGCCGAGCCGGTTTTACGGAAAAAATCAAAACTTCGTTGGTTTCTGCGGAACAACCGTCACTAACTCTATGGGCAAGCTCTCATAAGATAGGTTACTATGGACGGCTGGTACGCGCGTTTTGTAGTTGCAGCATAAGGCCTTCTATTAGACAACATGAGGGGCATAAAAAAAGTTTATGTGCGTTGCCTGTTCGCGTATTGAAGTTTGTGCTTGAGCTGGAAATCCAATTACTAAAACCAAAAAAAAATGATTTCGAATACTTTCAAACAATTCAATTTAAGATTTTAACTATCAATACTTTATTGCCGCTCTGAAGTTAATCTAAAGGTATGGAGTCGAAATTTGCCAGGTATACTTATGTATATTCATGAAGTATGTATGTACATATGTATACATAATTGGAGTTTTATAACCGCTAAAGTGATCTTCGGCTGAACTCCTACTCTAGTTTGTGATATGCGTTTTGATGTTTTTCCAACAAATGAAGAGAACTACAATTTATTCTAAGCCGCCTTCGAACGGTTGTTGGATTTTTATGAAGAACTTTTAATTCATATCAAAAATACAACCGGAAGACTTAAAAATCCATGCGAAGCGATGTTGGCCCAATACCCAATGCTGAACACTCGGTTACTGCAATTTTTATTTCACCTAACTGTAATTAGTACTTTACATACAAACATACATACACGTTAAATCTACACGAGTATATTTTTTTACGACTTGTTTACAATTTCAGGCACGTTTCGTTCACGATTTGAAACACATGGGCACATGCACATAAATACATACCTACCTACCTACATACATACATACATAGTGTGTGTATATGTATATATGAAATTTCGCGCGATCAATGTTATTTAGTGCGACTTTTTAATATAAATAAAGTTAGCTAATTGTTTGCATTCCATAAAAAACATTCTACTGAGTATTAGGTCAATTCATTTTAAAGCATTTTGAAATTGAGTATTAAAAATTTAATTTATTTTTGCATTTGATGAAACACAATTCCCCTACTGCAGACAGTACATATTCGATTTTAGAGTTTGTACTCTCCTAGGTCCATAATAGATGATTCCTTGCCAATCCCACCAAACAGGATTTTCCAAGCCACCAGTCCTGGCTTGGAGACACTTTTGCCGGATCTCTGCCCTTCGGCCACGACCTTTTGCCGTTGCTGTAAGTGATGCACCAGTCACTCTCCTTTTCAGAGCTGAGTCGATTTTCTTATGATTCTGCAGCGACTCGCAGTGGCGCCCATACATGGAGTTGCTTGTGTATTCAATCTTTTTCAAGTGGTTTTAAACTGTTTTTGTGCAATGTTTCGCTCATGTGCAATCGTTAAAGTGCTCGCATAACAGTCAGACTCGATGATTTTCATATTATGTATCGATATTTTGAGCAATTGACCTTGCATTGGTCTCATATTTAGTTCCAGAAAATCGTGTCATATCAGAGCACGCCGTCAAAGTTTTTTTTTTACACTCAGTGATGAATTCTTTGGGTTTTATACGTCAGTCATTCAAGACAAACGCTACAACCATCCAGCTTACATGCATACCTTCAAGCCATAGCAACTTATCTTATGAGAGCTTGCCGATGTCGTTACTCACGGTTGTCCCTCAGAAAATACTAGGGTGGTACGGCCGTGAGGTATGGCTGTAAGTTGCAGCGAAAGCTATAATTATGTATTACATACTAGCATATCATAATGTTCATAAAAAGTTATTATCTCAATAATTTTCCTAAAATTCCCCCCTTCCCTTTTTCTACTACATTATTTGCTAAACATTTTGTCGAATGTGTTATATATAAAATTTGATCTGTGTTTGATCCGATTTTTTTCTTTTTGGCTTTCAAGGTTAAAAAAATTTTCACCTTTATTTTTTAATGGTATAAAAATATTTTCTTTTTGAATTCAATCTCTGTTCAACACCTATATACTTATTTCTGTGTTCGTTTAACGGAAAGTATTTACTTCTCAACAACCAACTTATATCTTGACTGTTAATATTGAAATTTATTTATGATCAAGCCCTCTCGGGCTTCCAAAAATTGCCTTGGCGGACGGTATTTCACGTCCTCCACGGCGGGGTATTGGTTAAAGTTTTCAACTAGCAATAATCGCACCTCGGTAGAACCTCATTGGTTACGATATCGCCTCTGCGCAAAGCTAACTTTACTCAGCTATATTAACGGTACTTGTTTGCGCCTATTTACAAACTGACTGAGAATTGCAAAGCAATGCAGCGAACGTAAACATTAATATGAAATGAAAAGTAAAGAAGCAAGTAAAGCAAACTACAAGTAGATAGATACACACATTCATAGATGCATATGTACACATATATGTGTGTAAAAACAGATACTTTGTTTGGGTGGTTGGTTTTGGTTTTTCTTTTGGTTTACGTACGATGGCAAACAATCGCCTCAAATAAACTCAAGCGACACTTGGCAAACAAAAAGACATAGAGAAAGCTAAATTTAAATGAAACTCCCATTTGAAAAGCTAAAATTGAGTTTGTTGGCGTTTTGAATGAACTGTTTATTCTAACATTGCAAATAGATTATTCGTATATACATATATGTACATGTGTATGTAAATAAAAAAATATAAATATACATAGGTAATCAAATTAAAAGAAATTAAATTAAAATAATTCAAATAAAAATAAATAAATAAATAATATAAAATAAGTGAAAGAATAAAAATGAATTATATTATTACAAAAAATTAAATAAAGAATTAAATACAAGTCAAGTTAAATTAAGTAAAATTCAAAATAATTAATTAAACTAAAAAAAATGTGGTACACAAATAAGTGAAAAATTTAATAAATGAGTTGAAAAAAAATAATAATAATACGAATTATAAACTAGAAAAAATAATTAAACCAAATAACTAGAAGTGAAACTGAAAAAATTGGATATTCAAAAGTAACTGTCAAGATATTAGAACCCAAAATAATATAAAAAAATATATAATTCAATAAATTAGCAAAAAAATTACATGTAAATAACTAAAAATAAAAGAAATTGTTTATAAATATGGTGTATTAAATTAAATGTATTGAAATAAATAAATGAAGTAAAAAAATTAAATAAGTAGAAAAATATAAATTATTTATATGATTAAAAAAAATCAAGTAAAAATAAAAATATTAAAAAAACAGAAAATATTAGATATCCAAAATTACCCGTCGTGGTATTCGAACCAACAACCTCCAAAACGCATTAATTTATAAAATAAGTGGGCAAATAAAATAAAAGTAATAAATAAAGAAAATTAAATAGAAATATAGAAGATAAAATTAAATCAAAACAAAAAAAAAAACAAAACAAGTTAAATTAAATATGTAGAAAAAAATTATTAAAAAAATACAAGTCATAATAAAAAATAAGTAAAAATTACAAGCTCAAAAGTGCCTGCCCTGGTATTCGAACCGACGACCACCAAAAAGTTTTCAAGTGCGTTTTTTCCGATGTACTCATTGTCATATGCCATCTTTGATGATTCTATTATTATTATTTTTTTCTCATATTTCGAGCTTGATTTATTTTTATCATCATATAATTTTTTAAATGAAAAACAAAGAAATTTAATATTAAGAAAAATTTATTTTGAATAGAAAAAGTAAAATCCAAAATTATCATTTAAAATGTAATGTATTAAATAATTATTTTGGGCATCTGATAATTCTTTAAAGACAATTTTTTTCATAATTTTTTTATGAATTTTTTTTTTCGATAATTTCTTAATGAAATTTTGTTTCAATAAATTTTTCATTTACAAATTTTTAATGAAAAAATTTCTATATTTTATAATAAAAAATTGTTCAATAATTTTTAAATAAAAAAGTTTCAATACTGTTTTAAGAAATATTTCAGTAAAAACTTTTATATTTTTACCTAAGAGAAAGTAAATATGTGATGTACATACATACATACGTATGTATGCTCAAAAACTATTTGGTCGAAGTAATATAAATTAAACTATTTTTTCTCATATTATTTCACTGGATTTTCATTTTTCATTATTTTCCCAAAGGGTGTGAACTCGATTTTGACAAAAAAAAGAACAATAAATTTCAATTTGCCATCTCTAAAAATTAACCAAAATTTAACATATTTTTTAAAATGTTATTTAGTGCATTGAAAAAAAATACGGTTTTTTTTACTTTACGTATATATGTATGTACATACGGTTTTTCAATTGGTTTTCCGCATAAGTGAGGTTATGTTAAGTAAAATCGTCTTCTTGCACACTACGATTTTGGTATATGTTTTCCGCTATAAATTTTCATAACTGTTTCTTAACTATTTAAGCATATCTGTATGCTCATACATACATACATCCTCTATTTATCACATAAATTGACTTAATTGTACGCATACTTTCATTTATTTCCTTTTTCTAATCTACTAATTAATTATCCCTTTTTTTATTCCAGTTCAATCTCCGTTTTGGACGGCAACGAGGGCTTTCGTATTTTCGCCATTGAAGATTATGACAAGGTCGAGGAAATCTTCGCCCGGGATTCAGAGAACTACAGTTTAATAGAACGTCAATTTAATACATCACTGGTAGTGCTGGTGCCTGCCGATAAGCCGAATTGTTTGCTAATGATGAATTATAAGAAAAATCAGAGAATCTGCAATTGTGTCTACGCTACGAAAGTAATCAGTGTGCGATTGAATCGTCAACGTCTAATTGCCGTGCTAGAGGAGAGCATACACATACATGACATATCTAACATGGAAGAGCTGCATGTTATTGGGAATTTGGCGCCCAATCCATTGGGCTTATGTACGCTATCGTACAACTCGGATTTGGCCTTTCCCATTAGTAACACTACCGGCGAGTTGCGTATATTTAATTCATTGAAACTGACAGAGGGCATAACGATTGAGGCGCATAAAAGTCGTTTATCAGCGATGCATTTCACGCCCAGCGGTAACCTGTTGGCCACCACCTCGGAGCGTGGTACTGTGATACGTGTATTTTGTGCGAAGAATGGTCAACGCATTCAGGAGTTTCGGCGCGGCGTCAAGCGTTGCGTGCGCATAGCATCATTGGTATTTTCGCTTAATGGCCGCTTCCTCTGTGTCACATCCAATACGGAAACTGTGCATATATTCAAAGTCGATATGTTGGCTGCGAGTAAAGCGATAGAAGAGGGTATGGCGTATATACATACGTGTATATATAATATATAATGTAAAATAACATAATTTATTTGCTATAATTACAGCTGAAGAAGCGGAGCGTATGGAAAAACTGGAGACAGAGGAAACAACAGCAGAGAAAACAGTTGCAACCATTAGTGATACAGCTGTCGCCGGTACGTCGCCGTCGGATGTGAATAGCGGCTGGTCCGACTATATTTCGAAGGCAGTATCAACATATCTATTGCCCACACAAGTGTCCGATGTGCTCGCGCAGGATCGTGCATTCGCCACTGTAACGCTGCAACAGCCAGGCATGCGTTACGTATGTGGTATGACATATTTGGGTAAGGAAATGAAAGTGCTGATAGCTAGTGAGGATGGCTTTCTCTACATACACGAATTTGATGCATTACGCGGCGGTATATGTGAGCTGGTGGCCGTACATGACTTACGCGGCGTCTTAGATGGTGTTGTGGGTGAGTGATTTACACATAACAACAATTAAATATATGTATATACACTCTCAACATTAACACTCTAATCCTGCCTTGCAGAGGTGAATATCTCCGATAATGGTGATAAAATGTCGCCTGGTTCATCTAATAAGGAACCGAATGGTAGCAGAAACCTTTCCACAAAAAATTGCAATCGTAGCTCTGCAAATGCGGCATCTAGTAGTAGATCAACAACAAAATCAAGTTCAAGTACAAGTACAAGTAATAAGAAAAACTGTGGCATTTCACGCTGTATCATACAAAATCCTGTACCGGAACCAGACAATTCGTATTCCGGTATTGTAAAGGGACCACAAGCTGCCAATCCACTAACAGGTAAAATTATTTTACGACCATACATGGTTGTTGGAATGTAGAAGGACTAACTGACAATTTTTGAACTATACAGGGTGCCTAGAATTAGTCTCAAGATTATTCTCTAGAAATGCGAGTTTCGTTCAGTACTGCGGTAAACTATCTTGATTCTCGTTCATTTTTCTCGAACATTCAAAGAAATCGAAGATAAAAAACGAAAAACTTAAATTATATTTATTAGTTTTACTTTTTTTTAAAAGAATTTAACACACTGTTAGACTACTCGATTCAATTTTGAGCTACTATGTGAACTAAAATAGGGCTCGTGGAATTGCTTGCCAAGCTGTGAGTATCAACACACTTAGGTCTGAATAGATCCATTTTTATATTGTTCTTTTTCTTTCACTTATACTTCATTAGCTCGCTTGTGCAACTTTAGTTTCTGCCACGCGGCAAAGACTCCACAAAATCGACAGATTTTCAGCCATCCTATCTTTCAGCATGCCATCCTATTAGACAGTGTCTTGTAAGAGTTTCTATAACTTTGAACACTCTTTTTACGTTATACATTTTTCGTGATCTCTTGCCGCTCGGTTTCTAGCAAGCTTGCCTGGATTTGCTGCAAGTTGTAGTATCATTCCATCTTGCCATGGCCAGTTCATAGGTAAATTCCTGCATTCTTTATCGTGAAGAATAGTCGTGCATTGTCTGGCAAGTTCACCCCCAAGGACTGTATTTAGCACCACACAAAAGTACCGCTGGATAAGACGGCGTACCGACATACTTTAAATACCATTCACAGAGAATCGGTTAACACCTTGTTGAACTCTCTTCCACTGAATAGTGTTCTCCGTGTCAAATCACCACACATTGCAGACAAAGAACTCGCGCAGCATCGAGAGTTCCGAGTAATACTGGCATAATCAAGATCCAGACTTGACCCCGACATACCCAACGTATATCCGGAATGCAATGAAACTCCGTACAACACTAACCTCCTCTTTGCATGTCACTTAAAATCTCTCTCACCTAAATCCCCTTTCTCTCTGCTCCCAACCTATCGAAACAGTCCGTTTCTTGGACCTCACGTTAGTTGACTTGATAACTTAGGCTGAATTTGCCTGCTACTAAACAAGGTTAGACTATACACTACAATAACAACAACATGATGTTGTGTCTTCATGAGTGTGAAAGTGCGAAAATTTGCGATTTTCAGAAAAAGTCAGTTAGAAAAAAATCTACATTTCAAAACGTTTGTTTCTTCCTTTCTTGTTTTCCTTTTTCTCTTTTGGACTAAACTCGTTTTGCTATTTAACGAAATACTTGTACAAAATTAATAAATTACTTTCCCTCTACGAAAATTTCCTCAAACAAATTCTTTGCTTGACAATGAATTTGAAAATGTGGACTTTTGTTTTACATTTACTTTCAGCAGATTCTGCCAAGCATCGTCTACTATGCGATGCCATTGAAACGCCAATAAAACTCTTCGATGAACGCCAATTCCCGCCCGTGGCAATTGCAGCGCGCGATTGACCAACCAACAAGCGTCGGAGTGAGGAGAAGGAACGTTTTACCGCCGCTGCGAAAGCTTAAATATATATACAACATATGTATGTAAATTAATTAACGGCATAAATTTGTTAAAAGAAAGAAAAATAAGTTATTAATTACAATTGAGGCTTTCGTAAAGCACAACAGCTGCATTATAATAAAAAATTGAATAAATACTTATAATTAATGATTAAATTAGCAAAATACATACATATGAAGCGTATCAATTAGCAAATAATTATTGTTTAAAAAGTGTTCTCTTAAATTTAAAATTGTAATAAAAACTAAATAAAATAGCTATACATACACTTACATGTTAGAAAATAAATATATACGAGTATTAATATTAGTTATAACAATTTAATTCGTAAAAGCAGTGTAAAAAAAAATAAGTTCAAATTAAATATATTTGTTTGTCAGCGTGCTTGACGGTATGCATTATGTACGCGATTATGTATTTTACAATAAACTAAAGACCATAAAATTCCAAAGAGCTAAGAGTTTAACGGGAACTGGAATTGAAGAATTGAACATACATATGTGAATTTTAAACAGCCTGTGGTGGTTTTTTAAAAAAAAATTTAAGCTTATGGCTCTCTTTACGCGATTTGTTTGTATTACGTTAGACATACTAACTTTCCGAGAGGTCCACTTTTCGGTTGGCTTACCGATTTGTATGTAGTTTTTTTATTTTAATTAAAAATTTATATTTATTTTAGCAGAATACTCTTAATTTTTAAAGGTTTTATTTAGAGCATATTTTTAATTTGTGAACTCATTTTGAAACGATTTCAATTCTTATAATATTTAGTATTCGTTAGCATAATAAATATGTAAGAGTATGTAATGGTCATGCACATTTTTCCCGGCAAACAAAAAAAAAAAAAAAATTATAAATAGTACCGCTTAACAAATAATAAATTTTAAATAGTGTACATATACATACAGACAAAAGTAATATATACAGACCTGACGTCCATACCTATCGACAATCTCTCATTAAAAAGTCAAAATTTGTTAAATCAATTTGTTTGCATACATACATAGGTACGTACAAATGTACATATGTATATTTGTATTTGAAAGCGAAACATACGATTTGTCAAAAAAAAAACTTAAAAAAAAAACAAAGAAAGTGTTAAAAAACTAAAGAAGTACCTAAATATTATATTTAAAAACAACTGAAGAGCTTATGAAAAAGAATAAAGAAATTATATTGAAATGTATGTATACATAACAAATATACTGTAAATACATTATGAGTCAATTTTAAGAAATAATGTGAGTAAAGAATACTTAGCAGGCATAAAGATGTATGTGTGACATTATAAAAATTTTAAAATGAAATTAAAAATGTTATATAATTATTATAATATCAATAAAACAAAAAAAAAATTATTAATATACACACTATAAGCAATCCTGAAGTAAACACAAATTTAAAAAAGCTAATTTCTTTGTTAAAAAAAAAATTACAAATAGAAAAGAGATTAAAATTAAAGTGTCTAATGAAACAGTTAAAAATTGAAAGCAACACAAGTATAATATACAAACAAAAAATAATAAATTATAAGAAAATAAATGAGATTTACAGTTACATTCATATATGTATGTATATTTGGGAGCTCTAACAAAAGCATTTAGTTTCAGCATATTGAAATTCGTAAAAAAAATCTCTCTGCAATACCAAGATTATTTTCTCATTCAATTACATGTATAACTCTTTTAAAATTGTTAAAAAAAAAATAGTATTTGAATATTTATATTGTTGTATCAATTATACCCAATAAACGTATTAATTTCGACACTATTCCATATTTCCAAAAATTATTTTTAGCATAAAACAAATTTCCTTTGAATTCAAAAACTCGCGATGTACGAAAAACGTTTGAAACAAATTTAAGGAATTACAAAAAAAAATATATACATATACATATATTCTATAAAAATAATTTAACATTCCTCTGAATAGATATAAAAAAAAAACTTAATATAAAAATTTATTAATAGTTTTCTAACGATAAAACAAACATACATACATGTATGTATCTATACTGCACTCATATATTTCTTAATAATTTTTATAGCCTATTTTTAACAATAGTATTTTCCAACCCGTTACATTTTTCATAAGCTTAACTGTTGTGAACACCCTTAGTAAGAAAATACGTAACAAAAAAAAATGTAATAATGTGAAAAAAATAATATGAAAACCATTTTAGAAAACAACTACAAAATATTAACTTGAAATTTAAACTTAAAAAAAAAATATACAAAACATTAAAATGAAAAAAATAAAAAAACTTAAAATTTCTAAAATAAAAAAAAAAACTTAAAACAAAAACTGCAAAAAAAAGGTTAAAAAATAAAACAACCAAAAACCATAAAACAGCAAAAATCTCTCGTTTTAATTGTAATTTGGTAAATTTAAATTTAGTTTTTTTTTTAGAGAAAAACATTAATTTCAGCGAACTTTCCATATAAGTTGTGACTTGTCAATATTTTTTTTTGTTTTTAGGCGAAATAAATAGGCCTCTTCTGCGCGTCTTTAAGCTGTGCTAGCATTAAACAGGTAAATTCAAAAGTTTGTTTGCTATGATGAGAGAAAACTGAACTTTTCTTTTAATCACAGGATTAATGTGTGATATCCCACCTCTGTTTATAGTATACTTTCTACTTATTTTCCAATCACCGTGTTTATGTTGTTGTTGTTGTAGTAGTAATCTCGGAAATATTGCCAAACTAGATTTTAGGGGAATATTTCAGGACTGACAGATCTTGGCTGGATAAAAATCCGGGTCGTTCCGATATAAATACACGGCTGTTTCAGAAGCTATTGAATTTTAGTCGCTTCTTACAACAGTCATGCCTAACCACGGGTGAAAACATGTTTCTTGTCATATTTGCTGATTACTTAATTCAAAATTCTTCCATATTTCGACAAATTACACAATTCATGATATTGGGCGAATTTTGTTTGGGACATCTTGATTGTATGGAAAACAAAATATCTGAAAATTTCGTTTCCATAATAATTTGCCATTATAATCGACGTTACTATTTTGGACCAATCGAACTGAAATAGGTAGCTTCACTTGCCTTTGGTAGGCAATTTCCTTTCCACATGTAATACACATAGATGGCGTTTGTTTTCATTGCTTTCACCGTTTTTCATTATAGAAACCGACACAGAATTGCTTATTTATCGGAATTGAAAATCAACATCTGTTTGAAACGGTTTTGTGAAACCGAGTTGATTTTGATTTTGATTTTTTCGAAGATAAGCAAAACCGATTTTCGAATCAGCTGTCACACTTGTGCAAAAAAACCCAGCCAAGGCAAATTCACACACGGTAGTAGCAAGAATACAAAAACAAAAAGCCTATCGATTTTGTTTGTCTAATCGTAGTTTTGAAAAGTCAAAAACGAAATTCGTTCAATGTATTTTGTTGGTGTAATAAAAAGTTCGTAATGTCAAAACCTATTTCTCATGTATTTTGTTTGTGTAATTTGTTGAAATGGAAGGAAGAACAAGCAATCATATGATGTGACAACTTCTCCTTCTAATAAACTCGCCTTTAAACCCAGCATTTAAATTTAATTTTTGTACTGATTTTAACACAATACAATTGTGATTATTAACTAATATAAAATGATTCCGTCAGCCAACATTATTTTTTTTGAGCAGCCAACGCTTGAGTAATTTTAGGAATGAACGATAATGAAAAACCGAGAACTCAGACCATTTTTTCCATCAAGTGTACTGTATTTCAAGCATTGTTGGTTGGTGGTAAAATTCATTATTCATTGCTCGTGACTTTAATTTTTATAAATTTCCGCTTGCAATTAATTCAGTCAACGAATGACTCTGACATTCAAAACGATAAATAGCTTTCCGTAATATCTGAAACCAACACATATTCTTAAACAACAATGAAATTTATTCTTTATCGGTCCACAACCATAAGGTCGCGAACCCTTCAAAAATTTATTTTAGACTCATTAGAGTGCTCCTCTCCACGGAAATCTTTAGTAAAAGGCGAAAGATTTATTCGACAACTGAAGAGAAGCCAGAGTGACTAAACAAACGAAAACAATCATCAATAGTACACATATATTCATAAATCGGTTGCGAAGTACAGCACAAGAAATAGCAATGAAACAACGAACGAAACCGAGCGACTGCTGCTTGTTTGTTTGCCTGCCTACACCATGCCATGGAAACCTACCCCAACAACAAGTAGCATAACACAAACCGGTTGTATATATTGTTGTTGTTACAATACAAGATTGGTCGCATGAGTGTATTTATGTGTTTGTACATATGTATGTAATATGTTCACATACTGTGTACGAAGTTATCGAAAACCTTTTGCTTTTGTTTGTTGCAAAAACTAGAAGTTTTAAAAAAAATTAAGTTTTAATACAGCACAAATTGAGATTTCTTTATATTTTTACAGTTACTATTAAGGAATTAAATACTATTAGTGGAAAAAACTGATAAGCGCAAGTCTAGGGCTGTTATAGTACAGATGAACAAGGATGAGAGATCTTACGGGGACATGGCAAAGGCCCTATATATGTGTCTACAAAAGTATGGCTTATAATGCAGTTACTAAATATTTCAAGAAAAATAATACGACAAAACAAGTTCCAAGAAAGAAGTTAGATCAAAAAACGACACTCTGGGAGGACGAGTTGATTAGCCGTAAAAAAGTTATCCCCACAATGCGGTAAACCAAATTCAAGTTACGGTTTTAGGAGAAAATAAAAATATAATGGCTGTAGGTACTGTAATAAGTCGAAAGCAATGGTTTAAGGAAAACATGGCGATTCTATTAGACTGGCCTTCATGTAGGCCGGATTTGAATCCAATCGAAAATCTTTGGAAAAGAGTTTGTTCCCATAAAGTTGGAAACTTCCTGGATTTATACGAAAAAGTTTAACACGAGTCCTCCGTACTGGAACAGTTTTATACAAACCTTCCCGGAAACTTTTGCAGCAAACTGACAAATTTTCGGCATAAACTGCGGGCATTATCGACTTTCGAAAATTTTGCACATGAGAAAAAAAACACATTTATTAACAACACTTAATATTTTCTACACAGCCCCTAATTTTTTTCGTACACTTAAAATCCGTTCACTTAGTCTGAACTCTACCCCAAAGCTCTTTTTAGGCGACCTTTCATAAACAGCCAACCTTTTTTAAAAAAAACGCCCCTTAATTTTCGATGAGGTTCAGTTTTGGGCTTTGTACCGGCTAACCAATTTGTCACGATTTTGGCCGTGTGTGTTGTGGGTCTCCATCTTGCTGAAACAAGATCCTTGTCTTCGGGATATGCGCTAATGTCAACGAATTCTGGTAAATTTGATTTTAAAATACGATCTTTTTTTTTTTCAAAATCCCTTCAATTTTTACTAGTGGACCAAGATGCCATCACGTGAAGCAACCGCAAACCATTAAACTACAGGGTCCGCCATCTAACATTTTTTTTTTGAACTAGTGGTTATTTTGAGTGTGGTAACACTGATGTTACATCTGATTTGACAGAAAGTTAGTTTCATCCTTCCGCTGAACGAAAATGGTTGTATATACGATTGAGGAACGCGTTAAAATAGTGCAGTTTTACTTTGAAAATGTGTGCGAAAATTACGCACGGAAATGAGCCGTAACAAAGCACCGTCCGCTCCGTATGTGCGCTCTCTTTTGAAAAAATTGAGAGAAACCGGCACAATTATTGATAAACCAACGCGTGAGAAACCAAAAAAAGTGCGTGCTGCCGGTAATATCGCTACTGTGGCCGAGAGTGTGTGTGAGGCGCCTGGAACATCAGTGAAGCGTCGCTCTCAACAATTGGACATTTCCGAGACGTCCCTTAGGCGTATTTTAAAAAAGGATCTTGGTATGACACCGTACAAATTTCAATTGGTTCAAGAATTGAAGCCACGAGACCATCCCATGCGGTTTGCCTTTGCCGATTGGGCATTTGTTTTATTGCATTTAAAAAAAAAAAGTTACGTGGCGGACCCTGTATATACATATGTATGTACATACACACATATATGTATCATGTCAATATATTGATATTAGTCAGTTAGTTAGTTGAAAAGCTTGTGCGAACCCAGAACCTTGATGATACCTACATATGTTGGTTCTACGAATAAGATTCCTCTCACCTTTATAGATACTCAAACCGGTTGATGTAATATACGAAGTTCAGGAGATTAATGCTGTCTAGACATACAAGCCATGCTAAGCAATTGAAGAAGTAATTTCCGAGTGATCGATAACGGAATCTACTACGGCTCCAAACCATGGTTTTTTGGCATATAGTTTGGGAAAATATAAAAGCCGAGATCGGATGAAAAATGCCAATTCTTTCCATATTATTTATCTATCTAGTAAATACTTTCCTCATTTCTGACGCCTATGAAAAACGACTTCAAACAAATATTTCAATAGATCCATACTTACATTCAATATTACACTCGTAGTATCTGCTTAGAAATAATCTTTAAATAACAAAAAAATTTTTATGTTGAAAATTTTTTAAGTGGCAAGATCAAACATGTTTGGTATTAAAAACTCCGAAAAAATCACCTTATAGTGTAGTGTATTTTAGTATCTGATATTCATATAAACCACGAAAAACTTAGTTAATGAAACTAAATCTACACACCTACACCTATTTTATATTTAAAAATTTATTAATTAACGTCGGGACGGCGCGAACGCCATTCCCGGCTACCAAAAATTACACGCACGAGTTATTCGCATTAGGAATAATCGCGAAGGTCAACTCAGCCGAAGTGCAATGGCCAAGCCTCGCTCCGGAGGAACCGCCTTCATGATCACGGTAACCTCTACGCCAGGTAAGTATGCTTTATTCCGCACACAAGCAAATTTTTCAATTCCGATATTTATAAAGTATCTGAGAATTACACCAGTACGAAATGTAAAAAGAATGTGTGAATGAAAATAATACGGACAAGCGAAGGCATAATACAAATTTATGCTGCAACTACCCAACTCACTCTCCAGCCGTCCATAACTGACGACGTTAGTAGTGAAATACATACACGAGCTATCGACGCTGCTGAGAGCGGTGAAATGTTGCCAGCTGCCTGTGCCTAAGGCTGCAACTACCCAACGAGCGTACCAGCCGTCCATAAGTGGCGACGAAAAGGCGAGAAAAACACACGAGTTATCGACGCCACTGAGAGCGGCGAAATGTTGCCAGCTGCCTGTGTGTTTGCACACTTTTGAACAAATTCATAATTTTCGTCAACGAATTTCATAATTTATTTGCTTTAACATAAACACAAGGCAAATATACATGATCTATATAGTAACAAATAATTAGTTACGCATTTAGTTTTCATTTCTTTTGAACAAAACTACGCATTATCTTCGATTATTTAATGTTACTTTAAGAAAGGCTATACTGGCAACCTTGTATAGCAACGAAAAATGAGCCGAGCCGGTTTTACGGAAAAATCAAAACTTCGTTGGTTTCTGCGACACAAACGTCAGCAACGCTATGGTAAATCGGTGACAACTTTGTGTTTACATGGCGCTCTCATAAGATAGGTTACTATGGACGGCTGGTACGCTCGTTGGGTAGTTGCAGCCTTAGTGGTTGCAAAGGAAAATGTTGGGTACGTAAGTATGTATGTTTGTATATGTATAAATGCCAATGCATGTATGTATATACGGATGTGCATGCCTGCATATTTGGATACAAACACATATGTAGTTGGCGAATGTAGTATTCAATGCTTTCAATTTAGATTGTAGATACAAACATACTCGTACATATGTATGTGCTGATTTTTTTGCTGTTTAGCCAGAAAAATAAGGGGTTTAGCTATTTTTCGGAAATTTTTTTAGATTATTTTAGCTTTGTTTAGATTAGGAAACATTTTAAACTTTTATTAATTAATCCGCATGCGCCTGTACGAAAAGAAAGAAGTATCGCTAGTAATTACATGTATATACATACATACATACATATATATGAATGTACATAATAAATAATACCTTGTCCGGACTGATAGCAACTGAAATGTTTTTGCGCCAAAACTTGGGATTTATTTCTTGTTAAATTTGTCAAAATTACCCGAAAAGTTACTACTTAATCCAATCGGTTTCTGTACTAGTTTTTCAATATTATATTACTTATTTTTGTTTAAAATAATGATCTCGGTCAAACAATGGAATTGAACCGCAAGAATTTTCAAGCGATTGTTTTTTAAAACTTTCGACGTGTATTATCTCAAGAACAGTGTATCGATGAACTTAATTTAAGTGTCGGCGATGAATCATACCTACATTCAATATATCTAATATACTGTAAAAAAATCACGTTTGATCCCGCACAATTTGTCATCTTCAGCTAATTATTTCTTGGAACGCCAAACGTGATAAGTTTGATTGATTAGTTAATGCCCGAGTCAGAAATGTGCTGAAGATTTTCAAAAACTCGCCGTTCACTACTTGGTGTTTAATCACCCAATTGACGTACATACATATGTAAAGGGTTTTCCAGTGAAAGGTTTTGTTTTGAATAACCTGCTACACCGCCAAATGTCACTTTTGAAGCTGCAATTTCTTGACATTTACCAAGTAAGAAAAAATATTATAAAAATTATTAATGTATTGAAATTTTCCACAAAATTTTCTATAAAAATGGGGAAAACCTGGTCGTCGTGACGCATCTTGTCGAACCGCAATACAGAAATTAGTGGAAAAAATGGAGCTGTTGGAACAATAAAACACTAGCACATTGACCAATAACTACTAAAAATCTTTCTGCTGTAGCAAAAAGTATTAAAGGAAACCCTGATTTGTCCATTCCTCGACGTTCTTTGAAATGTGGCATTACACAAGACTTGGGTCTTAAGGCTTACAAAGATCAGTTAAAACAAGAAATCAAAACGTCGTGTCTCTGCTGATTGGTTTCTGAAATACATGAAAATGATTCGGGATTTCATTGAAAATCTATCTTGACTGATCAGAGCCATTTCCATCACGATGGCTACGTCAATGAGCAAAACTATCGCATCAGGCGCTCGAAAAACCCAAGATTTATTGTTGAAAAGCCCCTCCATTCTTAATGTGTAACTGTTTGGTGCATTGTATAGTCCGGCTTGTTCCAAAATTAGGCTAGAGTAACAGTTACGGTTTATGGATTACGCTATCGAAAGATGGTTAAGGATTTTTTATGGCCGCAATCGGATAGTATTAACCTGGATAACGTTTACTTTCGACAAGACGACGCTACGTGTCACACAAGCAACGAAAGCATCGATCTCTTAAGGGAAAGGTTTCCGCACCATGTTTTCCCTCGAAGATTTGATTGCAATTGGAAACCAAGATCTTGTAATTTAACTCCTTGCGACTACTTCCTTTGAGGTCCGTGGAAGATAAAGTATACGTCAACAGGCAACGCCGAGTCAAGACCACAGGCCTTACAAAATCTTTCATCATCAGACTAGTTCAGCGTGTCAGGGAAAAGGGAGTAGGTGCTACCGGACAGCAAAAAGAGCAGAGTATTTTCTTCTTACTTTTCTTGTAGAATGCACAATTTAAACCCAGCTGCTTCCTCTTTTCGTCGTATGGAGCCATTTTAGAGCTTGAGTGATTCTGCGTTGGATTTGAAGTCTGACATTGTTGGTGGTATTGTTGCTGGTGCCTGAATCGACGAAAATTAAGAATATTAGCAATGACAACTGAGAGCCAAAATGTGAGTTCTCTGTCCGAGATCACTACCAGACCTATTCGCTCCGCTTCTTTAACGATTTTGGAGAAAACCGAACTGCCTCCGTAGTTTTTGAGTTTTTAGCAGCCGAAAAATCTAAATTTAATTCAACACAAAGTTCGAAGTTCTATACGCAAGTCTTTATTATACATTTTTAATGTTTATTAAAAGAGTAAACAATTACATTGATATACATACATATGTACATAAGGTGCGGTTTATGGTCCGGCTTGCTCGAAAATGAGAAGAGATGATTAATGATTTTGCATACTTATGTTGTATGTATGTATACATGTATGATGTAATTCCCATGTAGGGATTGGCAATTAACGGGGATGTAGATTCCCATATATACAAAGTTACGTGTCTTGTAAAATTAACTATATTCAAATCATTTACAAATCTTTCAGACCTCTTGCACTGAAACGGCGGCATGTCCATTACGTGCCATTTTACCATTTTGTGTGCGTTCAATTAATTGCATACCCGGTTGTTCTTGATCTTGATCATGTGGACTGTGGTGGTTGTGATCGTGATGTTTGTGCTGATGGTGGCGATGGTGATGATGATGATGGCGTTCGATGGGTTGTGGCTGTGGAGCCGGTTGTTCCTCTTCAACCTCTTGTTGTTGTTCCTCCTCATCTTCATCAACCGACTGTTGCTCTGAGAGTGGTGTAGTCTGCTGAGCAACTTCGCGTACCATTTGTGTGTGCATGGATTTATTTACTGGTTGTTGATGATGATTATGATGATGCTGCTGATGATGATTTTGGTGTGGGTTATTTTTTATAGCAGGAAGAGACTCCAAGTGTACATCTGCAACCGATGGTTCGGACTTTGCAGACTTTAATGAAAACATCGAGCTTATTTTACGCAGCTTATCATGAACAGACAATTCGTTCTTTTCCAGATCATGTGTAGCATTTGTAATACTTTTAGTGCTTTGAGAAATGGAGCGGGCGTACGATTTCGACGAGTGTTTTGAGCGTTTCGAAGACGTTGATGAAGAAGAGGAGGATGATTTACTAGATTTGGATGATTTGGAAGAAGAGGAGGAGGATGTAGAAGAGGAGCCACCACTGCTGGAAGAAGTGTGGACCGGTTTTGTTTGTATCCAGAAGCGTAGAGCAAACAAAAGTTCTGCTTTGAATGCTTCTGAGAGCGAAACCTGGAAAATTTACATACTTTTATAAGGAGTAATAATATAAGAGTTAAATAAATTCCCATAAAATATTATTAAATAAAACAAAATATGATGTAAAATTAGAGTATACTATACACATAAAAAAATAATGAAATAAAACCAAATTAAAAAAAAAATAAATAAAATAACATAAAAAAAATAAAATAAAATAAAATAAAATAAAATATAATATAATATAATACAATATAATATAGTATAGTTTTATATAATAATATAAAATAAAATAATAGAAATTAAAATATAATTCAATTAAAATCTAGTAAAATAAAATCATTGTATTAACTGCAATAAAAAAAGACAAAACTGAATAAAACTAATTTAAAAAAAAAATAATTAATAGAAAATATAAATTAAAGTTAATTTATAATAAATACCTTTTCCTCAATTGCCACCGCTTTTATGTTCCATAAAAACTCACAGACACCAATAAGAATAGCAGTAAGTAGTCCGATGCCTAACACCAAGAATACACCACCCACATTCTCTAAATCTAATTCCGGTGTATCGCTGCTACTGCTCTCCGTTTGCGAACAAGAACCACCGCCATGCATCTCTTTCCACCATTTACGTTTCAACTCCGACAAAGTACCAGATTCACCAAGTTTGAGGACAGCGCCACTGATCTGTTTACGATAAGGCGAGTCTGCAATACAATAGAAAATGTATAAATCTCTTTAGGTTTCTTGAAAGTCTTCTAATAGCACTCACTAAATGGCATGGCAACGCCATAAGTTTTATAATCCAACCAACCGCCAACTTGCATCAAATCACAATTCCTTTCAATTATATACTCCAATGTCGTCGATTCCATAAGAAATGCATAGAGACCTTTACCTTTGAGTACACGATCCACACCCTCATCATTACTTTGTGTGAACACCGATGGACGAGCTGTTTCCATGGCAGTCCACATGCGTTGATAGGTGGAAAAATTCGAATCCTATTTCGAGAAAGCATGAAAATTATTTACCAAAGCTTTAACAGCATGTATGAAAGCTTACCCGAAAGAAGCCCATTGTGCTGCCGCCTTGTAAAGCACCGTATTTAATTTTACTTTGTGCCGCCAAATCTTCAGCGCTTTTAATGGAACTTTCCATCTACATATAAATAAAAATGGGAGTTATTATAGTGAATGAGAGGTTTGCGCTTCAGAAATACTTAACCCTAGACATTGTTAAGAAGGCGGCTAAATTGGCAGTGTAAGAATTCAACATCATCAAGGCAAAGAACCACCACATGCTCGTCACCAGACGTGTCGAAGCAGCTCTGTAAAAATATGGTAAGGACGAATAAAAATAGAAGGTGAGATAAAGTGAGAAAAGGTTTTTAAGCATAAGAGAGACAACTATAGAGCTTTCGAATAGTAAGCTCATTCAAAATACTATCCTTTTGTAGGGGAAGATAAGAAAAAGTAAGAAAAAGCTTTTAAGCGAAAGAGAGTCAAATATTTATTTTTGTAGGGGAAAAAATTGTTTAATTTAAAATTCGTCAAGAAAAGCTTTGTAATTTTTTTCCGGAAAAAATGAAAGTTCCTTTTAAATTTTCGTGTATGTACTCACTTTGGTAATATATCGCAACCTTGACCCATAATCGAACCAACGGCTAACCATGTGGTATTTGACATACACCAGAGATTCTCCACTTCTTCTGGTTCCTTACAAGGATGAGGATTTTCCCAATCTGCCGGAGCCATACGAGAGAGGCCGAAAATCAGCAACGAAACACCCAAATATGCAGTAGCCATATAAACCCAAACATCCAGTGAAAATGGCGAAAGGAAAGAGAAAAGATCCGGCGGCGCTTGTTCGGGCTTAGCATAGAGTATACTAATACCCAGCGTCATGAAGGGTGGCGTAAAATCAACCGCTTGACGTCGCGATGAAGTCATCGTGAGATCACAAATACCAAGATCGGCATTCTAAATGATAAAGAGCGAAATGTAGAACATTTTCGAGAGCAATTCTTAAGTATTTAACTCACACCATCCAACAACTGTTTAACAAGACCATCCCAAGATTGCGTGATTTTATTGAAACTACCGTATTTACCATCTGGTGCTAGGACGAATTCATACTTGAAATTCAAGAGTCTGGCTATGGCATCAATGAGATCCATGGAATAACCTTCATAACGTGCATTGCCCTGTAGAATTTCACCTTCTTTTGGTTCTCTGGAAAAAAAGGATTAGTAGAAAGCTTAATTAAAATCTCAAAATAATTGCATACTACTTACCTATTCAGCAAGAAGGGTGCGCCAATACGCGAGGTGATTATAAAAGTTTTATTTGATAGTTTCTCGCCTACACGCTTCTCACTGGCATCTTCCTTCTCGAGTGAATCTAGGCCATTAACTGGATCCCACGTTGCCAAGTCGAGAAACCCGGTGGATGTTAGTTCCATAAACCGTAAGGTAAAAAAGTTTCGTTCGCCATGCTCATTGAAATCGACACGACCAGTGGCGCCCTCCACGGAACGCTGAGCGCGAGAATACAGAATAAAAAAAATTCGTGAAAATTTTGAATAGGAGAATTTGGAACAGCCGGTGTGTCTAGCTCGTGATCTTACAAAAACCAAACGACTGGAGTTTTTGGAAATTGTAGAGTGAGAGAGAGAGGCATATAGCAAGCAGCTACGTAAAATCTTCGTAATACCAGATTAGGCTCTTACATGTCTGACCTATATATAATATGTCCCGGAAGGTAAAATTTATGGAGCTTCCGTTTTACGACTTCGAGAACAATCTCAGACGAGATTAAAAAGTTCATTCAGGGTTAGTATGTAAAAATACCGAAATTTTATACGAGGAGAATGAAGAAGCTAGATTTAGGCATCTTCTGGTCAAATACGTGCAACTCTATATTTTATATATAAGAAGAAGGCGAGGAGGAGGAGCTACTCCCTCTCTTAATTTACAGTAGTTTAGTTACTCATAGGCGGCAGCAACCTACTTTTTCACTGGGAAGGTAGGAACGAGCTGCTATTCCCCATCTTTACAAATGTATTCTACTTTAGTAGTGACGGAAGATCTACTCTCCGTTTTGGAAGGTATATGCGAGGATCCTCTCCATTACTTTTAGAACCCGTACGAAGACGGGCTTGTGCAAATAAAGAAAACAGTCTACAAATGTATTAATTTTTTGTGCAGAACCCCGGCATGAGTCAAGTCAAAACATTACCGCTTTAAGAAACTCCAGTATACGTCTACCCGGCGGCCAAGCACGATTCTTGCGACAATCCAATTTCGGCGGATTAAGCTCTTCTGCGATGCCAAGTTCGGCGAGACCCTTGGCAAACATGTAAACGGCATCATTAGCCAAAATCAAATTGGTCTAGAACAAATAAGAATATTTATATTACTTAGTTCTTATATATGAAAGGAAGGAAATCCAAGGTCCACCTTCACTTGTGACGGATCAGCGCGATAATAACGTTTCTCACGCTTCTCATGCTCCTCCCAGTCATGTGCCACGTTCTTAACCTGATAATCGGTGGGATCTATTAAGCGTACAGTGGTAATATTTGCGGTAACCGAGAGTAATTCCTTCAGGTCTAGTGTATGCGTGTCGAGTACGGTAATGAAAACGCTCTGCGATGGTGGAAAGAAAGATCAGCAATGAGCTTTACTAAGGTTATGCTAAATAATTTCTGTAGATCACCTGATATTCACCCAACATTTTTAGCTCATTTGCTTGTTTCAAAATGCTCACGACATTCTCGGTGGAACAATGTAGCACAATACAGTTATCGGTAGACAATTTAATATTCTTTAAAAATGGTCGAAAATCTGGACCTTCAGTTAGCTGACGTACAGTTGTTGGATTGTTGGTGGGTTCACCCACTTGTAGTATGTCCTGTAATTGCTGGAGCTCTAAATGAAATTTATTAGATATAGAATTTAGAAAATATCTCAGCCTATCATTCAAATTACCTCGTTCCGTTTCGTAAATGACGGTGTAGCTACGCCAACCAAAACTCTGCAAGATCTCCGCTAAGCCACGTGAGAGTAAGACATTATTTGGATGCACATTGAGTGTCATGGTCGAGTGCTGACGATCGTCGAGTGCTTCACTTGAGGTCCAGTCGAAAACTATATGCGGTATATCGAGTGTGTTGCAGATAGAGCTGACGATGTCTTAGGGCGGAAAAAACTTTTATGCATATATATTTGTATGTAGGTAAGAGGCATGATTTAAATGGGCGATGATGATTTCTATTTTCTCAGTAGATAACTTTCCTACACTACAAAGAGATAAGGAATTAACGGTTTATCGTATATACTATAAGTAGCAAGAAACTCACATCACAATAAACTCAGAGGATAATTTATCAGTGACTGCCAAATAATAATCGCCGGCGGTAAGTATGGAGTAATACAGTTTTGGAAATTTTAACACCTGTTCACACAGGCACTTAATTAGCTGATTAAGACTCAATTAAACTACTAATTGCAACACAATTAAATATTAAAATGTATCAAAGTCTCATAAAGGTTAGCCTGGGTGACAGGTGATGAGCTTTGAAGTGAAAATATATTAAGATTCTTCTCCTCAAAAGCCAGCGAAGTTGCTCAAATGAGGCTTATAAGAATTTTCCATTCGAGCTGTTCTTTCGGGTAGCGTGTCCTAAGCCACGCACAAAGCTCGCTATGCATATAAAATACAAAATACATTTTCATAGGGAGCCGCTTGCTTCAATATCGACGCTAGCAAAGTAGCCGCGACTCCGGTTAAACGATGCTGCAATAAGATTCTAGTGAACTCTTTAACCGAATGTGTCGCCAAGACACAAGATTCCAGTACAAAAAATTCTTCAAGCTGTTTCCAGATCGAAAAATTCCAAAGCAGATCAGTCATGCTGTGATAGACGGACAGCATTTATCCTGTGTTCTTGACGTGCCTACGTTCCGAGGACCCAACGCCGATTCAGACCATTATCTTGTAGTAGCATAGATATGCGCCCGCATGCATATGCATCAAAGAATGCAGGTCCACTATAAAAAGGTAAATTTCGGCGAGTTACAATTTTCGCCCAGTACAAAGGGGGTTCCCACTGTCTGCTCGAAAGATATATATATTCTCCAATGACCAGATATTCAACGCGCGCCAAGATATTATATTTTGTTTTCTTTTTATGCCTAATTCTTATAAAATGAGACATCATGTAATTCATCTTTAACTCAAATTTAATATACAAATACTTCATATGACCAGCGTGTTGGAAGAAATTACTTCTGCTTGCTTAATATGCTCGCCATCACTGTGTAGCACGTGCGAAGAACGCCGGTGTATTGTAGGTAAGTAGGTTAACGAATTTCAAGGGGAGCTATAAATAAGGATAAACAAACATACTCATACAGGCACACACATACAAACCTGATGCATATATATATGTATGCATAACAGCGAGAAAACGCTGAGGCGTTTATTTACCAACAATCAGTAGCAAAAGCTGAGGAGTGAACTTGCTCAAGTGCATGAGAATATGAATACATATGTACATATATACATTTTCCGAAAGCGTGCACACACACACACCCACACACAAAAATATACATATGTAAGTTGCATTATAATTACATACATGTGCCATGCAAGCACTTATCTACATGTTTACACACATACATACATACCTGTGCCTCCTGCTGTATTCGGCCCGAAAATAGCAATAACGCCTTGCGCAACCATTTTGCACACTACATATTTATTTGCAGAAAATGTGAAATTTTCCAAGAACGTAAATGAATAAAAATATAAAAAAAAACTGTATGTATGTATTATTAATAAATGTAACCTGTTTTCTCCACAATAAAACTATCATCCAGATCGGCGTACTCGACAATGGGTATCAACTCGAAGCTGCGTTCAAAGACGTTGGCGCGTTCGATGGCGGTGCGGAAGGCGATTTCGGTTTCATTATTTTTGTTGGAGAAAATTATACCTGCAAAGTTCAAGGTCATTAGTTCATAAAATAATTTTGATAAAATAATAAAAATCATTTGCCTTTTGTACTTACCAACATTGAATTGCGGTCGATCGTCCGCTGCATTGGCGAGCGCATAAATTAACGCCAAGATTAAGTGAAATAATGAAATTTTCATTGTGTAACTTTTTAATTCCTTTTATTTAACACATTTCACTTCAGAAATTGTAAAATTAAATATTATCAAAATATTTGTTTTTTCCTAAGCACTAAGGCACCACGCGCACTTGTGATTTCTCATACGACCGTTGCATTTAAAGATTCAAACCGTAATGCAACATTTAGAGAATTTTTGCGCCCATTAATGCTAAAATTATATTTAGATATTTGACATTAAGACAAATCGACTGCCGAATTGAAAGCCTTAAGATAATGTAAGAAACATGAAAGAGACACATACGTGTATGCAAAGCGTAGACTCGGCGGATGACAAAAACGTAAAAGTTTTGAAAAAAGCGTCTTTGTCCTCATTTTCCGCAGAGATTAACATAAATTTTTTTTGCTGCTTTGGCGAAATTCGTTTGCTCTTGTTTATTTAATGTTTTCATTTCACTGCGTTGCCTAAAAACTATATACATATATGTATGTAAGAGTATGTATGTACGTACATTAAGTACCTTTTAAAATGTTGCTTCTCTGTTTTGCTCAGTGTTTTCTAAACAAATCGTAAAAATTCTCGCCAAGCGGAACAAATGTATATTTATATATGTATAAAAATGTACATACATATACATTTATGTGGATGCTTATTTGGTTTACTATAAAACTTTTTTTATGAATAACTAAAATGAAAACATGACAGAAGAGCTATCTTCGGCCTTGCCAAAGTTTTTATACCTTTCATGTGCATATCAAATTTTTGGCATTTCAATCTAGATTTATAAATACGTTCATACACGTATTTATATAAATTCTTCTATGGAAGGCCATGTGATGTGATTTTCCGATTTCAATGATCTTGTTGAAACCATATACTGGACATGTCGTGAGCTTCAAACGCTCCGAATTGACTGCGGCGGTTTCGCTGTTGTCGATTTCAAAGTCCAATCACACCTCCAGAACAAAGAGAGCAAAATACAGTAATGTTGCAACTACCCATTACACCTACTATCCGTCCATAACAGGCGACGTCAAGAGCGAGATACATACACAATTGTTGACGTAGGTGAGAGCGGCGAAATGCAGCCAGTTGCCAGTGTGTTTGCACACTTCTGAACAAATATATTATATAATTTTCATCAACAAATTATATAATTTATATGCTTGAATATAAACGCAAGACAAATATACATGACCTGTACGGTAACAAATAATTAGTTACGCATTAGTTTTCATTTCTTTTGAAAAAACTACGCACTATCTTCGATTATTTAATATAACTTTCAGAAAGACTATACTGGCAACCTTGTATAGCAACGAGAAATGAACCGAGCCGGTTTTACGGGAAAAATCATAACGCCACTGGTTTCTGCAGGATAACCGTCACTAACGGCATGGGCAAGCGGTGACAACTTTGTGTTTACACAGCGCTCTCATAAGATAGCTTACTATGGACGGCTGGTACGCGCGTTGGGTAGTTGCAGCCGAAGTCTTTCTTCGAGTGTGATAGCCTCTCTTCAATTATTTGAAGATTCTCGGAGCCCTGCGACAACCTAGGTGTGAGAAATGTACCGTAAGAAGATCCCACTTCTTGAGAACATCGAGAAAGAGACACATTGGGGTCTTAAGCCTCTTCAAATTTCCTTAAAATCTTACCAATTACTTGAGTAGCTGAACGATTATGTGCAACATAATTTCCTCTTAAAGCAAGAACAATTTTATCTCGTTTATTATTATTATTATGTTATTAGAGGTTAATATGTCCAGTTTTGTGGCAACAAATTACGATTTCCGGACAGCACTACTTTTCTGTTTCCATCTGAAGAAAACCGCAGCCGAATCGCATCAAAAAGAACCCCGGGTGAGCCATCAGCATCGACGGGAAGACCAAACCGCTACGGATGAAAGACAATGCTATGTGTTTGGTGGGATTAGAAGGGCTAATATACTATGAGCTGTTGAAACCTGGGTAAACTGTCAATACTCAACGCAACCGACAACAAATGACCGATTCGTATCGAGTTTTGAGCGAAAAATTACCAGAATAACAATAAAGACAACACCAGCACACAAAGCAAAACAACTCAGGGAACGATACAGTCGTTTCGTTAGGAGATTTTTCAACACGCGGGCTACTCACCGGACCTTGCCTTACCCGATTACTACTTGTTTGCTTTGCTTGAAAATGGCGCGATGACTGTTTAGGCTCAAAAGTGCAACAGTTCTTTTGGTGCGAAATCCTCAAATCCACAGAAAGATAGGAAAAATGTATAGATAACAACGGACAATACTTTGAATAAGTTATTTTGTGTCATATCATTACAAAAAAACATGGTTTTTCTATACAAAAATTCCGGTTTTATACTTACACACCTGGTATTCCACGCACTCATCAGCTTTTCGCTCGAGCAATATTTACTTTAGTTTTATTTCTATTTTTTTTGATATATTTCACTTTATTATATTTCTTTTTATATATATTTCCATTTATATTATATTTTTCTTTAACTTCTTTTATTTGAACTTATCTGTTCCTTATATCCCTTTCATTTTATCTTATTTTACTTTTATTATTTAATTTTAATTTTTTTTAAATATTATTTAATTTAAATATATTTATTTTAGTGAATTTAATTTAGTTTAATTAAATTTTATTTTATTTTATATTATTTCACCTACAAATATGTATATTACTTATTTAATTTTCAGCTATTTTATTTCTTTATATAATTTAATGTCACTTGATGCATTTCGAATTAAATTGTTTTATTTGATTAATTTCATTTCATTACATTTCATTTAATTTAATTATAATTTTCTTTAATTTAATTTTAGTTCATTTTATTTGATTTTATTTTGATGTGATTTTTTACTTAATTTGAATTAAATTAAAATAAATTTATTTAACTCATATATATGTGCCCATGATTTTGAAAGTGGTATAAGTCATATTTTTTTTGTTTCGAGATATTTAGTGTTTTGTATTTTAAAGGATTAAAAAATATTCTTGCATTATGGATTATGATTTTTCGACATTAAAGTAGTCCCAACAAACAAATACTTATTATGATTGTGAAATTTATTGCCATTTTTAAAAGAAAATGTGGTTTTGAAAGGTTNGCTTTCTAACTGCTGAAGCGATTTTTCGGCCGAGCTCCTCCTCCAATTTGTGGTTTTGCGTCTTGATGTTTTTTCCCACAAATGGAGGGACCTGCAGTTTATAATAATCCGTCTTCGAGAGGCTGATGGGTTTTCTTTATGAGGAGCCTTGTTTCACGTGAGAAATACACACGGAGGCGTTGACATTCCCTGCCGAGGGGCGACCGAAATTAGAAAATTTAACTTGATTTTTTATTTAAATTAAATTTCTTTAACTTTACGGATGTTGGTCGCACGGGGATTCGAACCCGAGCCTTCCGAATGGCAGTACGCAATGCTAACTACTCGGCTACCGCTGTCGCATAATAACCCTTATTAATTGTAAGACTTCAAATTTAACTTAATTAAATTTAATTCCTTTTTAACTTTTTTCTTTAACTCAATTTAAAGTAATTTAATTTAATTTTATTTTTATATTGAGTTTAATTTATTTTTATTTAATTTAAATTGATATGTTTTTGTCCTGTCTCATTATATATGTATATAATTTTAATTTAATTTAGTTTACTTGATTTCATTTTATTTGGGATCATTTTTCCAGCTTACATATTTCATTTAAGAAGCTCCTGTCAGCCATACGAGTAACTCGAAGGTGTGGAACAAATATTAAAATCACGAATGTGTATTTATTGCGATGAGACAATAAATTAACGATTATGTACAGTGACATTTTACAATGCTGACGACGAAAAATAATTATACACTATGCCATATCAAAAATATATAAATCTAAATCTTTTTTCGTATTATGTGATCATAGAATACAACATGTCCATATTTTTCTGAAAAATGCATTTCACGCGTACAATTATTCGTATACAATTCACGTAAGATATCAACACAGATTTTTTTATGATCACCACGATGCATAAATATCAAACCATTCTCGACATCATGTATAACGACATAGTTTTCAGAATGATTGTAATGCACCGTACCCTTATGCCAATCGTAGAAGCTAAGATCCGTCGGTTTCGGACGCAATAGTACACGCTCCTGAAAGACGGCCAACCAATCGGTGCAGCCTTCGATCATTAGATTTGCCTGTTTCAGACTATGTTCGAAATCAATGTAACCGGAAACTTCAAAACCGGACTTTAGGCGATGTTTAAGAAAAATTATTGTCTGCAAAAAACAAAAAAAAAAAAAAACAACGAATAAAATAATATAGAGACACGCTCCCCACACCTCTTACCGATATGATCTTCTGCGTATTCGGCTGTTCACGTCGTGCCAATTCGATTAGTACCGGATCATCGGATTCCATATTTTCACTGAATAGCATTGCCGATTTTTTCGTCGGCCATAATGATTCCTGTACGGCCGCTTTACGCTTCTCATACTGCTCGGGTGTGTAAATTTCAGAAGCGGAACGATAACCGAGCTCGACAAGCATACGGCAGAAGCGTATGTTACGTAGAAAGTGTATATCATGACGTGTAATGAAGGTATCCAAGTAGTCCTCGTAGGTGGGACAGTCGAGCAAAAACATATCCTGTTGCACGGAGCTCATTTTTTTGACGATTCTTTATTGCACTTAGGTAGTTATTTCGAAATAATACTTGTTTAGTTTATTGCACTTTGGTTTATTGCAGTTTAAGCGTTTGGGCGAGTATTATTTTTTTTTAATTTTCGTTATATTGTATTATGCTGGTTTGCTCATATTTTTTTATTAGTTTATGCGTTTAATATGAAATAAATATATGTACATATGTATTACTAGAACTTTTTGTTGTTACTTTCCTTTTTTCTGTATTTTTTTTGCAATATATTTTAATTTTTTTTTAATTTTTTTTGAAATTTTAAATTTTCTATTTATATATTATTGAGAATTGCTATTGTTTAAATGACTTTTATAGGCCTATTCTGTTGAGGTAACAAACCAAAGTAAATTTTTTTACTTTTCGTATTCTGAGTTCACTGTTGCCTTGTGCATTTTGTTACCAGCGAAATAGAAGGTGACAAACAATCAGCAGTTCGATTTTTTGTTTTTATTTTGAGAAAAGATAATAACGAAAATGGCTAGGCATTTTTTTAGGCCTGGAATTCATTGAAAATGAAAAAAAGTCCAAAAAGGCGTATATTAAGAAGTTTGCGAGAAAAAGTTTCCCTTTTAATTTTTTGTTTTGTTTTTAGGTATATTTTCCAAAATTAGATTCAAATATTTATGATTTAATAAACAAATATATAAAACATATTGGTCAAGTAAAAAGTTCGCTCGGTTTTTATCTTAGAGATGGCGTTATTGTCCATAGAACTAGGGCTACGTGTGGCATCTTGTCATACTATACGGCGCTGAAAAATTCACCATGCGTCGGCAGGCCTGTCGTCGAAAATTGCGATAAAAACATGGAAATAATCGAAATAGACCGTCACGTGAGCACTTATTTAATTGCTGAGGAACTAAAGATAAGCCAGAAAACCGTTTGGAACCATTTGCATAACCTTGGATTCAAAAAGAAGCTCGATGCTTGGGTGCCACACGAACTGACGCAAAAAATCAATGGATCGAATTTCCATCTGCGAATCGCTGCTGAATCGCAACAAAATAGACCCTTCTCTTAAGCGGATTGTGACTAGCGATGAAAAGTGTGCAACGGTCGTGTTCAAAGCTCGGGGAAGCGGCCCAGACTGTGGCCCAGACCGGATTGACGGCCATTAAGGTTTTGCTGTGCGCTTGGTGGGAATGGCAAGGAATCATCTACTACGAGCTGCTCCCCTATGACAAAACGCTCAATTCGGCACACTACTGACAACCGCTTGAAGGCAGTACTCATCCAGTAGAGGTCATCTTTGATCAACAGAGGCCGAATTGTGTTCCATCAGGACAACGCCAGGCCACACTCGTCTTTGATGACGCGTCAGAAGCTCCACGAGCTCGGATGGGAGGTCTTATTGCACTCACCTTATAGTCCGGACCTGGCACAAAGTGATTAACATCTTCTTCTGTGCATGGCGAACGCGCTTAATGGTGAGAAGTTGGCATCAAGAGAGGCCTGTGAAAATTAGCTCTCCGAGTTTTTTGCCAATAGGGACGCAGCCTTCTACTACAGGGGTACAATGAAGTTAACATCTTGTTGGCAACAAGTTTACGAACAAAACGTCGCATATTTGACTTAAATCGGACAAATGTACACGAAGTTATATTCGGAAAAATAAAAAAAAATCCGAACGATCTTTTTACTTGATCTAATATTTATTTTGTTGTGCACCGTCTTCCATTTCGATGTAAATATTTTTCTTTTTTACTTTACCAACTGGCAAATGTATTTTGCCAAGGACGGAAAAAGCAGTGCTGCGAAAGTTTTTTCAAATATTGTAAACTGTGCGCCAGAACACCAAATTCAATTTCGGGTGTTAAAAAAAAGTAACAAAATTTGCTTTACCGGTAACAAGGAGAATAGGCCACGTTTGAATCACATTATAGTAGGTTTTAACAATTTTAAAGCGTCTTACTCTTATTAAGCGATCCATGTATTATTGGCAGTTAAGTTTGACAGATGTCGAAATGTAGCCCTGTACTCTTGAAACCTCGAAATGGATAACCTTATAGTATGGACGAGGATTGCCTACGCGAGACTCCGCAATGAGTCAATCAGTTTAATCCAACATAACCTGTGACAACATTTGTTGGAAAAACATCAAGACGCAAAGCCACAAATGAGGGAGGAGCTCGGCCGAAAACTCTTCAGAGGTGGCAAATCGCCAGTTATATATATATAACCTATGACAACTCATCCGGATGGATTCACAGCTAGTGAAAGTGGAACTAGTTTTAAAAAACCCGAATTACACATTGCCGAAACCAAACAACACTAGCAGTCACCAGTGTTTATATGCCAAATTTGTTGTTTATATTTAACAAATTCGCATTTTTTCACTGCGTAGGCACATGTGTAGCACACGATCATACGCAACGAACTTGAATCGGAGAAGCGACATAAAATTTTGAGTGGACTAGACATAAATTGTTAACAGGAAGTAAACAAACCAAATCAAACTGAATTTTCCGAATGTGTTTGTGTGTGTATGCGGGCAGCCACGACACCAGCAAAGAATTTCACATTTGATGCTTGTTTGTGTATTTTTATTGCCCAAAAACGCGACACATCAAACGACGACAAGTGAGAGTCGCAGTAAATGCAAACGAACGTTGAGGATCGCTTTTGTTTTGTCGGAGTGGTGGGACGCGCATAGTTGACAAAGTAGGCGAGTGTGATCGGAGGCCAAAAATGTACGCGGATCAATAGTGGCAGGGCGCGGTGGGCAGCTCCAAAATACAAATATTGAATGCTAAGTGTATATGTATGTATGTAAATTGTTGTTCTTATTTTCACAGTATGTACTTTTAGTATGCTACACAAACACTTACACATGCACAAAGTTGGAAAATATAAACAAATAATTTTTGTTGTGTAGCAAAGCGACAGCTTTGTTGGAAAAATCACAGACGACACAGTCAATGCAACAAATAGCAAGCAAGCGTTGTGCGGCTTTTTGACAGCAGCAGGAGCAACAACAGTAATAACAACAACAACTACAATAAAACCGAAAAATTGTACAAACATATAAAAGTGTGGTGAGCGGCGTGCACAGTGCTAATGGCAGGAAAAATTTTTTTAATTTTAGAAAATATTTTTTCTTAAAAAATGCTTATTTTTAATAATTATTTACTTAATTTCTCTCAGTTAAAAATTTTCAAGAGACTACTGCAGCAGTAGTTTGAAGTTGAGAAATGCCTAAGCGTATTTATGTATGTATGAAAGTATGTAAGTATATGATTTCCTTGTCGTCGCCATGCTCAGTGTGCGCTAAATTTTGCTCCACGACTGGATGGATGGTTGCTGGTACAAATTCAAAAATATTTCGAGTGTGTTTTCGAATGGAGGCGGTGACGGTCGCGACCGCAGTAGAAGTAATGTGAAAAGTGAATTTGTGAAAAAGTCGCCAGAAATAAATTGGAATACAAAGAAATAAATAAATGAATTATAAAATGGCGTGCAATTAATTTTTTACGTAATATTTGTGTGAAAATTTTTAAATAATTTTTCGAAAATGCAGCTATTCAATTATCATTACTTAGAAAAAAGTGTTTCAACTGCTTACATAAATTTTTAGTATTTTTTTAAAACAAATATTACTACACTGGAAAAAAATGTACTTCAACGGTGTCTATAAAACGCTGCTGGTTCTGTTGATTTTAGTACACTTTACGCACGAATATACCGGTGGTGGCGATATAGAGTTGAAAGTTGGTAATAAAGTTGAAAGTGTTTGAATGACATCAAAGAGGGAAATTTTGTTTTTGGTATTGTAAAAATTAATTAACACAAAATAAGAAATAATATCAAATGAAATAATATATAATAAACTAAAATAAAATATAATAAAATAAAACAAAATAAAGCAAAACAAAATAAAACAAAATGAAATAAAACAAAATGAAATAAAACAAAATAAAATAAAATAAANACAAAATAAAAACTTTGCAGAATCTTTCGTTAGAAGCATAAATAACCACAAACAACAAAATTCCTCGCGCTTTCAGGTGTTCTCTTCTTCCGCGATGAGTACGACATTGAATTGAGTTTTGATGAAGCATTCCATCAGATTAATACCAATAAACTATTTGGCCTTACTTTTAAAACGATTAAGCGCTATGTGCCAAGCGATGATAGCTTTATATTACAACAATTGAGTAAGTATTAAAGAGAATGTCGAAAAGTACAATAGTAGAAAAAAAAGCTTAGAAACAATATTTTACAATTCCAACAACTTTGTAATAAGCTCAAGGTTAAAGTACATAGAGAGTGAGTAAGATAGGTATGGATGAGGAGGAGGCGCTAAGAAATACAACAGAAATAAAAGTTAAAATAAATAAAAATAAATCATGAACAGTTCAAGGTTAATTTGAAATTAAAATCAAGAATCTTAGATTTGGTAGAAGAAACTGTTATCTCAGGCTGCGAAATAGCGAAAATTATGTGAAAAGCACATGTTTCAAAGGTTAAGTTTCTGGTAGCAGCAAAGAGGCCTAAATGCAAGTTGCTAGTAGGGCTGTTTATAATATATCATCAAAGAATATCTACGTGTGCCAAGCGTCTTGCATACAGAGGATGATCTTGCTCGAAGAAGATGAACAGCAGAATCATTAGCCGGCAACGGATGCCTGCTTCAATTAACTTAAAGAAGAGCAATACTCTTCAAACTGGAGATACAAGATGCAGTGTAGCAGTATTTGGGTCCCATAAGGGTGATCCATTTCGAGGTTTCCTACTTTTTAAAGAAAAAAAAAACACAAAAATTTTAAATTAGGTATGTTTATGATTATTTGAAAGAACATTCTTTGAGTCCAATTTTCGATGACTCGTCCCATCATTTTGACTGGTAAAATGATACTCGACAAGAAGCAGGATTGTCCGTATAGACTTGTGATATTACACGCCCTTTTTGGCCAACAGAAATTATCTGCTTACCGAAGTGGTTTCTCCATTTATCCATTGGTTTATGCGTTGTGTGGGATGGCGCTATCTTGTTGAAACTAAGTGCCGCCGAGATCATGAGATTCAATTTCAAGCGTCAAATAATCGGTTGTCATGGCGCGATAGCCGTTCTCTTGTTGTTGTAACCGCAAAAATATCACCCAAAGTACTTTTTGGGTAATGTTGCGGAAGTGACAGTCCTTGGTCGGAAAAAAATTCGGGTCGTTTCGGTATACCCGACCCGACTGTAGCAGGAACTATTGGATTTTAGTCGCCTTATCGCGGGTAAATTCTTGAACCACTAACACGCAGGGGGCCGCGATAGTGGTCGCCATTTCCGATTACGTTCTCACCGGCATAGTTCTTGAAGAAATATGAAATGATGATTCCATCAGTGCATAAACCACACCAAACCGTGGACGTTTTTGGGATGAAATAACAGCCCTTGAAGCCCTCCAGATTGTTATTTATTGGACCAGAAATGCGTCTCATCGCTGAACCGACTTTGGCTCGAAAACGTTGGATCTTCTTGCAACTTTTCAACTTTTTGGGAAAGTCGAGGTGATTCAGTTTTTCGACAAGCTGTATTTTAGACGCTTTCAATATAAGATCTCGACGTAAAATGCGCCAAGTCGTTCCATACATCAGTTTGAGTTGCTGCGAAAGGCGCCGAAGCAACTCTCCGCGGTCTATCAGCTCAGCTACGGCCGCTCTATTTCCTGCACTGCATGCTGGACGTGGTGGAAAAAAAGTGTATATTAATTTCATTATTGATATTAGGATTATTAAGACATCGCTAAAGCTTATCTCGTTTACTATTGTAAAATATCTTTAAAAATGTTTGTTAAAATCTTTCTGACGAAATTGTGTCCTTTCTGTTTTCAAAATCGTGTTTGAACTTTTATTGTTCATGCAAAGAATTTTTTTTTACAACCAAATTCAAATTTTATTCAAATGTCTTTTCCAAACATTTCAGCTTGCGAATTGCTTTCAGATGGCGTTGCCGCTATTTTCGGACCAAGTTCAAAGGCAACAAGTGGTGAGTGGCATGAAATGCGACGAAATTCGTGTTTAACATTGTTGTACAAAAATTAATTCGTCATTAGTCACATATATCTATAATATATGTATTTACATACTTGTAACCTGCTTGATTGGCCAATGCACTAAGTGATGCATGCTGAGATCTAGTTTATTTGAAAGCATTTTGGAATATTTATTTATACATAAAAAAAGTAATTAAAAAAAGTAAAATCTAGTAAAATTGTACAAATGCAAAATAAATAATGCAAATGTAACGTTGATTGATATTTTGATTTATAAACAGAAAAACGTATTTTGCAAAATTTTTTCCATTTCGTAGACATTGTTGCCATTATAGCCAATGCCACTGGCATACCACATATGGAATTCGACTGGAGCATTGCGTCACCAGCGCAAAATATTTTAAACAATAGAATGACCGTAAATGTGGCACCATCAGTGGCGATGATTTCAAAAGCCTACTACAATATAATAAAAAATCATTATGGTTGGGATGAATTTACAATCGTCTACGAAACTAAGGCTGGTAAGTAAACCTCTTACTTTTGTGTAATAAAAAGAAATTCAAATTTATAACTTATTTTTCAATTTCCATGCTTACTTATATGTAGGTCTCACACGCTTACAGGATCTCATGAATATTAATAACTTGAATTTCGATTTAATTAAGTTACGTTACATTGAAGATTATAAAAATGATTTGCGCGTTCTTTGGAAAGAGACGAGTGAGACCCTACATGAACATAAAATCATACTCGACTGTGATGCCAATTCATTGCAGACGTTATTCGAGACTGCGAAGGAGTTCAAGCTATTCACCTTATTTAAAGTAAACAAAAAAAAAATCAAATAAACATTCATATATAATATAAATATGTACGAAATTATCAATATATATTTTTCCCACAGTACTGGTTTTTAACTGATTTGAATACACATAATTCGGCTTTGAGAAGAATGTATAATCCTGATTACAGAGCTAATATAACTTCCGTGAGATTAAAATTAGTCGAAGATAATCCATTTAGCCGCAAGAAGACACGTATACGACCAATCGATGTAAGTAGAAAGTACAATATATCTAGCCGAGTTAACAACGGCACGCCATTCATTCCTTCTTTTCGCTGTTTGCCGCCAATTATAACTGCCAAGTATTGCCAAGTCTTACTCCACCTTGTCTTATTGGAAGTCGTTCTCCTTCCAAAATTTGGCATATGGTGAATAACTGATCAATGGTGGACTTACCGAAGTCCAATAAGATTGTTGACGGTGGTTTTCGGCCGATAGGACCTTATGTGTGATATGAAACAGACTTATCCCAAGATAATGCGGGTATGCTTTCAACCGACCATATTTTGCCACGAAACTGATATATGCACCTCATCAGCTCCTCAGCGCCGTATTTGCATAGTTCGACCGGTAATCCATCGGCCCCTGCTGCCATGTGGTTTTTCAAGCGGGCGATTGGCATTCGAACTTCTTCATAATCAGGCAATGAAACATTTGTTTCATCGTCATCGATTGGGGAATCGGGTTCGCCATCTTCTGGTGTTCCGTTTTCATTGCCATTTTGTAGGCTGGAGAGAAGTGTTCATTACATATATTCAGTTTACTCTGGGTATTACTAACTACAATATATCACCACTCTGTGTCCTACAAGAGTCTGCTCCGGTCTTGAAAACTTCTGTAAGTTGAGTATTACTCTTGTCGGCTAGCAATATAGGCTACGGATGAATTACACACAACTGTCATTATTGAAAGGAGAGACAAAGTAAGGCCATAGAACTAGATATTTTCCATTTCCATCGAAGGCGAAAAGATTTTCAGCTGTCTTTCACCCGACAACGTCGAGAAGCGATTTTTAAAAGATTTACATATGGTTCAAGCATCTCACGGATTTCGGTCTTTCATCAAGTAACCCAGAGAAAACCCACTTTTGATGCCGACCCTTGTCATCGGTTTGTGAATCAGGATTTGAAGACATGCATTCTCTGATTTGAGAAGATGCTGCTCTTTAGTAGGTCGACGTCTTGAGCATTTAGTATAAGCTCACTTCACTGCCGTCCAAAAAGTGTGAAGGACAATTTATGTGCAGAAAAAGTAGTTTGTAAATAAATAAAAGGAAGGTTCGATGTCGCAAAGCTGAAGTCACATTAGACAGGCATTAAACTTGCTCTCCTACCTTCGGAGAGAACTCTAATACCCTTTAAAGTGGGTCTATTGCCTATTTAAAAAACAACAAGCGTAACCGAACTGTTCGGTCAAATCAACCATACACCATGCTTCAAAATGTGGAAAGCACTCTTGAGAATACAAACCTCTTTTTCACGAATTAGGAGATATCATCATCATGTTGTTCATATGAGCGCCAACATTCCATCTTTGAAGTACACGTTGGTGGAAGTAGAGCAATAAGATGACCCACACTCCATTGAAAGGATCAGATGGAGAATGACCTAAAGTTTCTAGTTCGCCTCAATCGGAGAAAAGAAAAAATGGCTGAAGGGCGGTTTTTGTTAAACGTCCTATAGGCGCATTGCACCGAGAAAAATCATGCTCTTATTAGGATCTCTCACAACTTTCCACAATGTTTACCGCAAATTATTATTTTGTTGTTTTTTTTTTTTTTGTTTAGAAAATTTTCAGCAACCAAGTGATGCTACCGATTTTAATGTACGATGCTGTTGTACTATACGCTAATGCCGCCCGGAACGTAATTACCACATTGAGACAATTTACGGAGCCACAAATGCGTTGTGAGTTCGATTACCCCAGTAGGCCATGGTATATAGGGCGGGAAATTGTGGAGGAAATGAAGACGGTTTGTATCGACTTAAGTATGAACAACAGGGTTTAAACTCACTTTTCATTGTAACCTCTTACGCCTGCAGATTTCCGAGGATGACGTTGATCCCCCCTTCAAAACGGAGAATTTCAAAATCGATGAAAACGGCCAACGAAAACAATTTAATTTGGAGATATACAAACCAACGACAAATGATATTATGGTCGTATGGAAACCTGACGGTAGTCTCTCACCGCCAACTTCACTACAAGCCGCTTTGGGTGGTGCTACGTCAACAGCGCCCGATTTCTCGTTGGCACGTAAGACCTTCATAGTGGCAACACGTTTTGAGGAGCCCTATTTCATGTTGAAGTGAGTATTAGCACTGTTGCTACATACATATAAAAGAATTATCGTTCGATTGTTGACAGTTTCTTCACAGAGAAGATCATGAAACTTTGCGTGGCATGGAGAAGTATGAAGGTTATGCCGTGGATCTGATGCAGAAGTTGGCCGACTTGATGGAGTTTAATTATGAATTTCTAGTTGAACGTACGACGGGAAAAATGAATCCTGATACAGGGGAATGGGATGGCATGATTAGGCGGTTGATTGATCATGTAAATTTTTTTTTGTCAATATTTTATTTATTTATTTAATTTAACTAAAATTTTTTTTAATTCCAGCAAGCTCATATTGCAATTAGTGACATCACAATTACACAGGCACGTCGTAGAGTAGTCGATTTTACTGTGCCCTTTATGCAATTGGGTATCAGTATTTTATATTATAGAAGAAAACCGGCCGCAAAGAATCCATATGCGTTCTTAGAGCCCTTTGCAGAAGAAGTTTGGTATAATTTAATGCTGACGCAATTGATAATGACTTTGTTGTTCGTGGTATTAGCGCGGTGAGTTCTTATTATTTAGTTGTTATTTACAGTAAACTCCTTTGACTTATTACCTGGGGCCAAGAGGTTGGAAATGTCATTCCTGTATTAATTGTTAACACACATCCAATTAAGCTGTAACAATTGCTGTTACCGATTGGCTGAAGATAACACGATCGGAGCTAGTTCTCTTTTCGTGTAAAAAATTAATAAAGTGTAAGATTTGAGTGTAACCACACATTAGATTTTAACAGTTTCGGTTTCGGTTCATAACCATATTTCGGAGAAAGTGGAGTAGTGACTAAGAGCACTAAGGCTCGCTGGACTGTTGGGATACTATTGTCGAGCTCATGCCTTTTATAAAACCCACAAGTTGGCTTACACTTGCTAAAGTATAATCTGTAAATCAGTGACGGCGAACGCTATAGTCGAGTGTTTAGCTAGAGTAGTACCATGGTGAAGATAATCGAATCCTGACCGACGAATATTCAAAATTTTGTAAAATTAACTTAAAAATATTTTTTCTACTGACGGTCACTCTCTGGCAGGATATGCCAACCCCTCTCACTTAAGATTTTATTTAAAATATCCCTAGATCTTAATGTCAGTCCAAGTAGTTTGTTTTAGGCTGAGTTAACAATGAGAAATTGAGTAACTAGGAAGCCGCTTCCATTCTGTGTTACTTACGAGATTCCACAACCCACTCTTTCAACGAGATTTGAGCCATCTGTAGCCATAATGGCGAAATATCTTGATCCCTTTCGTTCCTCATTGTGATTTTTGTTGAAAATATAAGGACAGAATAGGAAGCTCAGGCAGCGAAGAGTAAGAGAGTAGTTGCCTTACGACTTCACAGCTCGCTGTACCATAAACTGCTGTACATGCGGAGATCACAGCCCACCCACTTCTTTCTAACGTATGGTTCCATGTGAATTTACCATCTAAGATTGTATGTACATATATATAATTGACGCTTTGCAACCGTTGAAGAGATTTTCGGCAGATGGATTTTTATGAGGGGTCATTATTTCAGGTCAGAAATACACTCGGAGGGCTTAACACTCTCTGCCGAGGGGTGAACGCAATTGGAAAATTTAATTTTCTCGGTCTTGAGCTTCTAGCGAAGGATATCCAATCGGTAGGCCTTCTGAAGATGTATATCCAGATCTTCAGCTCTGCTTTAGTTGCTTACAATGCAAAGACGATTTTGCGGTAGATCCATTAGAGCTTGTAGATGCTTAGGAGAGATATCTCCACCTTGTTGGGTACTTGATAAAGGATGTGCCACCGTTTAAGCATTGATTGCATTGATCGATTTATCCAAGTGCAGTTGGACGATCTAGGGTAAGACATCATTAAAAGCCACCTAAATTTGAGGGCAAGTCTTTTTCTCAACCCTCGTCACAATAATATGAAGAATGGTATCGACATATTTATTCTATAGTAGGTAATCTGGTTACCCAACAAGCTGTTTGTATATAAGCGTCGATCTTCAGATGATCGTTCGAAAACCTTTTAGATTTATATAACTTACTCTGCGCCTCTTCGTATGAAAATTACTTCTGCCATAGTCCATACTATGGGGAATGCCCAAGTGTGATAGAAAGGCTCTGTAAACATTGCATGTCGGGGGTCGCCTACAGTTCAGCCATCAAGTGCTGGAGAATTGAACGGATGGTATTGTTGATTTTTTTTTGTTGTAAGACGTGGCGCGCTATGTGGAGATAAGAGACAGTCTTCAGTTATTAGTTATAATGTTCCGTTGTTTCAGTGTAGCTACAAATTTCGTTCTCAGCATAATTTTTAGTTAATTTGCAGAGTTTTTAAACAGAATTTGTAGCTTAGTACTGAAAAACTCATAATTAGATAATTGAGCTCCTGTGTGAACAGTTATAATCAATTAGTTACTAATTGCCAATCTAAATTTCTTACAAAACATCATCACAGAAATTTGGTGAAAGAAAAATTAACGCTTTCTCTATATACCTTATCTTCTCTTAAATATCCTCTCTTCTCTTCTCCTAAATCCATAGTTTCTCTCATCATGAGTGGACGAATCCCAATCCCACGGAATCTGATCCAGATGAACTTGAGAATATATGGAACAATTCCAATTCATTTTGGCTGATGATTGGTTCAATTATGCAACAGGGTTGCGATATACTGCCAAAGTCAGTAGAACCCCATTTATTTAAGAATAAATTCTTTAGCTTACATTTTTTTGCCAACAGAGGACCGCCGATGCGTATACTCAGCAGCATGTGGTGGTTCTTCACATTGATGATGGTCAATGCTTACGTGGCCAATTTAGCTGCGTCCCTAACGAATAATAAGCTGACGAGTGAGTTTGACAGTCTCAGCAGTCTAATCGATCAGAGTAAGGTTAAGTATGGTACTTTGTCCGGCGGTAGTACGTCGGTTTATTTTTCCGAATCGAATGAGACCGATTATAAGAGAGCTTGGAATCAAATGATATCATTTACGCCATCAGCGTTCACGTCCAGTAATAAGGAGGGCGTCGATCGTGTGCGTAAGGAGGAGGGCAAGTATGCCTTTCTCATGGAAACCACATCTATGTCATACAATATTGAACGAAGCTGCGATCTAAAACAAGTTGGTAGTCAATTCGGTGAGAAGCATTATGCCTTAGCTGTGCCACTAGGTAATTGAGATTTGCAAAGACTATTTTATTTATTTTTTCTCAATATTTCTTTAATTATTTCAATAACATTTTTATACTGGCTTACAGGTGCTGAGTATCGTTCAAATTTGAGCGTCTCTTTACTCAAACTCAGCGAGCGAGGTGAACTCTTCAATTTGAAGCGTCGCTGGTGGAAGCCACGAGATGAAATCAATTGTACTAGACCTACTGATAACGATGGCGATGAGCTCTCTATTATCGAATTGGGTGGCGTATTTCTTGTGCTCGGCGGCGGCGTACTTGTCTCTTTCATTATTGGTATTTGTGAATTTCTATGGAACGTGCAGACAGTTGCTGCCGAGGAAAAGGTAATATGTGGTGTCGAAAGAAATTAAAAAATTAAAAAATAACTTTTTTTTTAATTTAATTTCGTCAATTTAGACCACACGTTGGCAGGCCTTTAAAGCTGAACTCTGCTTTGTTTTAAAATTTTGGATTACAAAGAAACCAGCAAAAATATCGGAGAGCACAAAATCTTCAATTTCCTCGAAATCCTCCTCAAAACGGTCAACAGATCGTTCACGTTCGCATTCACGTTCGCATAGTTATGTAAGCGGGCGTTCTCGTCGCACAACCAAATCGAAGACATCGCATCACGAGCGAGTGCGCGAGCGCAACCGCGAACGCGAGCGAAGTGTGCACAGTCGAAGTGTCCATAGTCGTAGATATTATGATTGAGTTAAAGAGTTGAAGTATTTTCGGAAATTGAAAATTTGAGGAAATTCTATTTAATTTTAATACATAAATTATGCTAACTTATGTTAAGAGAAGAGAAAAATAAAAAGAAAATAATAGTAATTTTTTTTAATCAAAATTGTTATGAAAATTTTTCAATTTAAGTGAGAATAAACACGTAAGGTATACTAAGTTCGGGTAGAACCGAACATTGGATTCTCCTCTGTTATTTATATTAAGTCAACATATCGGTGAATTATGTGGTTACCCGAAAAGAAAGCGGCGATGTTTTAAAAGAAAGTAAATACATTTTTTTTAAATTTCATTATGAACCCTCTAACATGTAATTTCCATTTCGTTGCATGACTCTTCACCAACTTTCCGGCAACTTCATTATCTTCTTTATTTGCAAACAACTGAATCAAGTGCGATTTTATAGCCTCGTAATTTTCGACAGCTTCACCTTTTAATGAATGCCAGTCTGACGGTGTAAGGTCAGGGCTATATGGTGGATGCATCAAAAGTTCCCAGCCAACCTTTCTCAGTTTTTGTGAATGTGATTGACCGACTCTGGCCGCTTCTCGTTGGTGGATGTATTTAATTATGCAGTAGGTATCTAAATTAATTGTTTGGTTCCTTGGAATCAGCTCAAAATATACCACACCCTTTCAATACCACCAAACTGGCAGCAGAATCTTCTTTTAGTGAATATCAGCCTTTGAAGTGATTTGTGGCGTTTCATCATGCTTGGACCATGATCGTTTTCGAATGACGTTATTGTAAAAATCCATTTTTGATCTTCAGTAATGATTTGCTTCAATAACGGACCATGTTCATTCGTTGAAGCGACTTGATAAATGAATATCTTTTAATTCATGTGCTAGCTAAATATCAAGTTTTTGTTTTATTAGCCCAAGAAGACATATATGATTATGAACGATTGATTTTGGTATACTTAACGTCTCTTCAATCTCACGACCAGTTACATGACGATCCAATTCGATTAATGCTTTGATTTGGTCATCATCAACTTCACTTGGCCGACCCGAACGGAATTTGTCAAACCAACTTCGAAACTGTGACTCTATTCCCATACTGCGGCGAGGAACTAATAAGGTGCATGCATCACCTTTTTTGTAAAATATTGTCGGATGAAAACATACCCGACTATTGGAACCTATGTGTACTCTGTCCAATAAGCCTGCTTAATATTGCATTTAAGGTTTTAGCCACTGTATTGCGTGAAAGACTAAGGCCCGCCGTCAACAACCTGGATGGACCTTATCTGGTAAGTCCACCACTAACCAGATATTCGCCATACGCCAAATCTTGGAAAAGAACCATGGGAAAAAAATAATAAGAGATGCAGAGCTAACTATACACGGTATTACAATATATATTTCAGAGGAGTCTGCAACTGCTGGGGTGAGCCGCCACATTAGTTTTGTTTTCACAATTCTTAATGAAGAAATGAAGTGAAAAGATCTTGTAGTGAACGAAGACCAGACGAACAGTAATTCGCTTATCGGTTCCGTCTTGTTATATGGGACAGAAGCGTACGAAGTGGAAGTAGAGGAAAAGGAAGACCTTTCCTCAGTTGGGATCATGTGGAGAGGGACATGGTTTCACTTGGTATTTCCAGAGGGTGTCAAATAGCGAAGAAGAAAGCCAAGTCTCTTTTCAAACATCCTTAGTGAGTTGGAGTTCACTTTCATTAGGTGAAAAAATATTTTTTTGTACTTTCAATATCAATTTTTTTAAATATTTTACTTCATTTAATTTACTTTTATGTAGAACCGAAATCGAGAAAAATTTGAATTTGCTCTCACATATTTATTGTCAGTCTTAATATATATTCACGTACATTTATTTTTTGCAGAAAAAGTAAAGTTTAGAGGATCACTATAGATATGCCTAAGCGAAATGATTGAGAACAGCAATTAAAATGGTTGAAATTATACGATAATGAATGAATATTTACATACATATGTGCACTTAAATTTACCGCTCAGACTACTAGGTGTGTCTCTGAAGTAATGGGACTGATTATATTGCCGCGATTGTGGTAACCCTGCGACCTTGAAATTCCTTTGCCCTTCTCCTCCTCAAGTCTACTATCGCCAAGTAATCGAAAGATTGCGAAAACGAGTTAGCAGGGTGCCCCCAGACAGCGCTCACAACGGGGTCCTTCATCACGACAACGCGCCGTGCCACACCGCCTTCAACGTGTCCCAGTATTTGGCCTCTAAAGGGATCGCCGTATTGAAAAAACCGTCTGTAACTTTTTTTCGTTCCCTAGACTAAAATCTGTGGTCAAGGGAACCCATTTTGAGTCAATTGAGCACATCCAGGCGGCCTTGACGAGGGTACTCGCATACATCTCAGTCGAAGGGTTCCAGAAATGGTATGAAGCATAGAAAACGTGCTGGAATCGTTGTATAGCTAAACAAGCGGACTACTACTTTGAAGGGGATGGCAGAGTTGTAGAATAATTTTGAAATATACGGTTTTCATGGGATTAGCCTCATTACTTAATGGTTGCATAGGTCTTGAAGGCCAAAAAAAGATTTTTTTTCCCAATTTTTACATATAAAAGTACAATATGTGTGCAACATTTGGTACAAATTTGAATGATATATTTTTTAATCTTTATCTGAAATCAAAATTCCAATTTTTTTCTCAAAGTAGGTGAATTTCCCTTGTCCCTGAACGAAGAAAATTAAGAAAAAAATAAAATATGATTTTTTGTACCATTTTTTGCTAAAAATAAGGCCACATACTGGCTTGTAAAATGAGTTGAAATCAGGGACTATAAAAAAATGCTCAAAAGAAGTGAGGAAAATTTGAATTCGATCGCTTCAATAGTCGTTGAGAAATTTTGAATACCGATTTCGATAAAGCGGTTTTAAGACAAACGCGTTTAAAGTTTCGCCATCGGTCAAGCTATGACAAAGACGGTAGGTTATAAGACTCTCTAATTTCTACAGTTTCGCCTCGATCGACTTGAAACTCGGAGAAAATATTACTGACACTTTGTACTTTCATACAAAAAATTATCAAAAATATTAATTTTTTGAAGTTTCAAGACCTATGTAATCCCTTAATTGTCACACCTCGTATGTATGCGCATATATAAAATAAAATTGAAAAAACAAAAATTAAAAAAAAGCGTTTCGATTCTCACATATTTTGTTCACCACTTAATTCCATGAATTGTTAACAAATTATGTGTTCTAGATATGAATTATACACTTATATATGTTAATCCATATGTAAATCTCAATTTATAGGGTTATACAATTCGTGGTTTCAAAAGTACAGGGCTGTATTTTGACATATGTCAAAACAAACATGCATTTTGGTTCATGCTGTGGGCATCCCAAGTTCGAATCCAATTCGAAAAAGGTGTCTGGAAAAAGAAGTCTGATAAGGAAACATGCTGGTTTTCGAAATAGCAGCTATAACTTCTATCGTTCAAAACTGTTGTTGTAATTTTTTCACTATTTCCCCAAAAAATTTATGGTGTGAGACAGTTCCATAAAACTAAAAACCCACAAACATGCTTTGTTTTTGTGTTGTTAATAGTCAGGCATTCATGAAAAAGGATCACTTAGCAGGCGCACAATGTGTTCAAATTGTTTAAATCTAAACTACAAAAATGGTGAGTCAATTGTGGCCACGTCTACGAGCAGATTATGGTATAAACAATCCCCCAACTACTTAAGTAATTGGTAATATTTTAAAGAACTTTGAAGTTACTGTTTGCTATAGCCATTGTAAAAACTACGCATCATCGTCTTGCTCGTTCCACCTCAAATATCGCTACTGTAAGTGGAGTGGTAGCCGAAGTACCGATTGTGTCTATTTCTCGTAGTTCTCAAGAACTGAAACTTTCTTACCACACATTATTGTCTATTTTTCTCTTAAACTTTCACCAAAGTCCAGCTGAGCACTCACAACGCCGTTGATACGTCGAATTGAGTGCTTGAACAACAAGCAGTTAACTTCAACCACGAGGCGCATTTGTCAATCGGGGAATAAGTAAATAAGCAAAATTGTTGCATTTAGGGATCCAAGAATTCTCAAATAATTGAAGGAAAACCGTTACAAAAAAAAAAAAAAAAATTATGTCGCTCCTTGGGCCGGAGATATGATTGGACTTTACTTTTTTGAGCGCTATTGTTATATGGTAACCGACGTTTTTTGGCTTGCTATTTAAGAACACGACTTGGACCTTATGTGGTTTCAACAAGATGGTGCCTCATGCCACACAACACGAAGGATTATTACTTAATTGTGAGAAAAATTTCCCGGCCACGTAATCTCTCGTCTTGAAGGTGTCAATTGGACACCGAGATCGTGAGATTTATCGTCGTGTTATTTGGTGAGGCTATGAAATATGCAGATAAATCTTTAGCTCTTGAACATTTGAATACCAATATTTGCCAAGTTATGGCTGAGATACTGACCGATAGGTGCCCACAAGAGGTCCAAAACTACCTTAAATGGATTGATGTCTGCGAATCATATATACAAGTAATATAAAGCCAAGGCTCAAACTTTATAATAAAAAAGGAGTTCCATAAAAGAAATGCACTTCACTTACGGTTAATTTCGAAACCACGAAATGGATACCCATATATTCATATTTATGCAGGTATATACGAGTATATGATAATAAAAATGCGCACCAAATTGAAAAAAAAAGAGAATTGTTAAGCGGAAGACATATGAGTACCAACGAGCTGCGTCGTGTTGAAATAATGCTTTTCGGACGCGACGCGACGCGGCTGATGACGATCGCGACGAATTTTCCAAAAAATACATGTATACATATATCGATGTATGTATGAGTGTGTATATAAAAAATTTTATTATTTTGATTTCAATATTTTTTGGGGGTTCTTGGCTTTTATGTTTCCTCCTTGACTTGTAAACATATGTATGCATGTATGTATATTTGTGTTTCTACAGATGAGCGTATTTTGTAGACAAAACAGACGCTGCTGATGGCGGATGGCAAGCGACAGAACGACGCGTCCACCTTCTGGATTGTATAGATATACAACTACATATTTATATACATATGTATGTATGTATTTAAGCTACTTATAGATTGACTTGTGGTTTGGCCGGTATACAAAATATTGGGCTCTTTCATTTTTTTAAAATAATGGAAATTTTCATTTCCCTTTTGAAAAGCGAACGCATCGGTTGATTTGAATTTTGTTAAAATTTAGTAGCGGCAAGTGCGTGTTGTGTATTAAATATATATACAAACGAATATAGATGAAAATTCGTGTTAAAATTTATAAAAAATGATTGAAATAAAAACAACGAAAAACGCGTACACAAAAATATTATAAGCATAAAGAAATTACAACAAAAAATATGTCTTTTTACGTTCGTCTATTTAGCACTCGATTCGAAAGAAATAGTTGCGACACTTAAAAGTGTGATATTTATATAATTATATTATATTTTAAAGAAAAATCACTAAAAAGTGCGAATTTTTTATACAAATTAAGAAAATTATAAATTTATATTAATGTGAAAAGCATAAATTGCAAGAGTGTATCGAAAATCGAATGGGAAACTACAATCAAATGTGATAAATATAATAAATGAGTGCGACCTTTAAATAATTGAGGTTATGTTTAGTGTGCTGTGTGAAAATGAAACTTTTACTTTTTACGTTGTTTTCATTAGCGGTTTTTCAACACACCGCCCAGTTTACAAACAATTTTGATGTCGTCAAAATCGGTATGTTACAAAAATGTGTTTTATTGTCAAATCCATAGGGTTATCCATTTTGCGTTTTCAAAAATAAACATAAATAAAATGCATTTTAATGATTTTTTCATGATTTTTTTTTTTCATAATAAAGTCTGAAGGTTGGCATTATATGTGAAACTCTCAAGATATTTATTCGCATAAGCGCGGTCTTTCACCATCAGTAGTACCACAGAAAAATTCCAAAAGTGCGAAATAACACGATCGTGGTGGCCAATTGAGGCGAGAGATTATGCGAGCTGGGAATTTCTCTTAAAATAAAGTAGTAATCTGTGTGGCACCATCTTGTTATGTCCACATATAGTTCAAGTTGTGATCTTCAATTGTAGGCCAAAAAAGTCGGTTATTACATGATTTAAAGGCCCCGAATTGCCAGTGAAAGTTTTTCATTTTTCAAAGAAGTAAAGTCCAAGCACATCTCGGTACCAAACAGCGCACCAGACGGTACTTTTTTTTTTGGTGTAATAGCAACTCTTCAATTATTTGAGGATTTTCGGAGCTACAAACAGTTGACAGTTTTGCTTATTTACGTATTCCTGAGCGAAAAATTCACGTCATCGCTGAAGAAAATTATGTTTGAATAACTGACTCAATGTAGGTGTAAGTCTAAATGCAAAACGTGCCTTAATGTCAGGTTTCAAAGATATGTAAATATAGCTCTTTACTTTTGAAACTACGAAATGGATAACCTTTTATATTCCTGAATGTTTTATCTTACATATGTATGTATGTAGGCGCAATATTCTTCCACGATGAAATGAAATTAGTTGAAGCTTTTGATACCGCAGTACGTGATATAAACAACCTGGAATTGGATGTTCGATTGGAGCCGATTAAACATTATCTAAGCAGTGACGATAGTCTCACGCTGCAAGAGTTGGGTAAGTATTTGTTGTAATCGCTTAAAATAGTTGAAAACCGAATCTATAGTTGCGGTCTCGTCTCTGATATTGTGTACATTCAAATGGTTCAAAAAATCAGTGTCAATGTTTGCAGGAAAAACAAAATAATGTTCGAAAAATCTTAAAGACAGATGACTGTGATAAATTAATAGAGGTTTAATTGGTTGTACAAAATATTCTCCGTTATTGTGAAATACGAAAAAAGGCTTCACAACGCTTTCGAATTTATTTGAACAAATAAGCTCAGTCTTAACAGAGGCCGAATTGAGTTCCATGAGGACAACGCTAGGCCATACACGCCTTTGGTGACGCGCCAGAAGCTCCAGAAGCTCGGATGCACCCACCTTATGGTCCGCACCTGGCACCAAGTGATTACCATCTTTTACCGTCCATGGCGAAGGCGCCTAATGGTGAGAAGTTGGCCTCAAGAGAGGCCTGTGAAAATTGGCTCTCCGAGTTTTTTTTGCCAATAGGAACGCAGCTTTCTACGAGAGAGGTATAATGAAGTTGGCAATAAGTTTACGAACAAAACGGTGCATATTTGACTTAAATCGTACAAATATACACAAAGTTATCATAAAACCAAAAAACGAATTTTTTATTTGACCTAATATGTATACTTTCTGGAAAGATTTTGGTATTGCTTTGGTATTAATTGACAATGAGCGACTCCCCAAACATATACAAACCCCAATATGCTATACGGTAGCTTGGGTTCGGGGAACGACTAACTTTGGGCTTGTAGAATATTGAGAGGGAGGGTTCAATTTATAAACAAATAAACCAAAACTCAAAATGTAAAACGCTTCAGTAGCACAATTACTTAAAAAAAAATACAAATATCGACCAAATACTTTTCGATTAAAATCGGTTCAAAGATTTTAAATAAGATCAATTTTACACAGTAAACTACGAGTAAGTAAGTAAGCTGGAAACAAAATGAAAAGCTGTCAAGCACTTTTCAAGCTTATTGCGAACAGACATGCAGACGATAATATATAATATAATGATAAAAATAGTGATTTTAGAAGCCTAATTAGAACTTTTATTATTCTTCATGAACCAATTATATAAAATATCAATTACTTTAACTGATATCTAAGCTTCATTTCACATTACTCTGTGTTTCTCGCAGTATATAGTTTTTTATATTATTTTTTATTTCCATTTTTACAGCATGCGATTTGATCGAAAATGGCGTCGCCGCTTTAATTGGTCCAAGTTCAAAGGCGAGCAGTGGTAAGTGTTGGTTGGCATTGATATTTATAAGCAAAACTAGTGCGAAGAGAAAAAAGTTTTTTATTTTAAGAAAACGAATGGAACTTGTCTAAGAATAGATACTTTCACCATTCCTTTCTTTGCTGCAGCTTCGATGTTATTTTGTATGTTTTGTTTTGATTTAATTTTCGCCAAATTTTTTGATGAACTCAACACATATTTATATTTATATTTATATTTATATTTATATTTATATTTATATTTATATTTATATTTATATTTATATTTATATTTATATTTATATTTATATTTATATTTATATTTATATTTATATTTATATTTATATTTATATTTATATTTATATTTATATTTATATTTATATGAAATTTATTTTTTCCAAACTTCAAGTATTCAATTCCATTTGTGTTTGAACCACCCAATATGACTTTTAAGCATATTATTTATACACATTCACTTGTTAGTTTAAATATATATACATATATAAACACATGTCATCTGATTTTCTGGCTCGTCTTTTATTCAATATGCTTGTTTGCACTAAATATTTATTTATGGATAATTTAAAAACATAAATTTTCAATATACTTAAATTTTACCGTTGCATGACGAACATGAAACTTGTTGAAATGCATAGTGGGGAATAACTTATTATACAGATATAAATATCTATACAGTTCATATCGTGGCATTATAACATACATATGTTTGTACTGTACGAGTATATTGGGTTAATACTATAAACATGTGTATGCATGTACGGTGAAATATGCAGTAAATTTGTAAAGTAATAATTTTTGGCTCATTAATATCACACCACATTCCATGATCGCAACACAAAAATAACGAGTTTTTAATGACTAATAATAAAGATTAAGTAAATATACAAATAAGGAATTTATTTAGTCACAAAAATTTTTGTACGATCTCAAAATAACATATTTAATTTAGTTTATCATGCCAACTTGACAGTCCAAAAAGGTCACGGGGCAATAATTGCTTTTCTTTTTCATGAAATTCAACTTTTACAGCACCTAATACTTACCTTAGACTTGAGTGTTTGTTATCACAGTGTTCGGTGTATGAAAGTGCCACGGCGTATGAGTAACATTAAATTTTCCATTTAAATTATTTAGTTTAACTCATTTCCATTAATTTAAGTTCTTGTAATTATATAATGTGAATAAAATACACTAAATGTTTAAGGTGACATTGAATTTTCTTCGTAACTAGACAAAACTGTTCCAAAGTTTATTTATTTCTTTACAAAACCATTACGAAGGTAATGCAAGAAAAATAAATAAAAATAAACCACGAATTAATGGATAATAAAATAAGATTAGATAAAAATAAACATGGATGGATATAGAGCTGAAACAATTTTATAACCTTCTATAAAGGCAAGCTACTTGAAATTAATTTATTTAAAACGTGTACAAACATATAAGAATTTGAAAAATCGCTGAAGGCAATCAATCGACGGTGGCTGACAGCAACAATAATGATGACGTCGAAATATGTACATACACATGCAATTTCTAATAATGTTCATTGACATACACGTATACTTTGAAATATATGTATCTAAATAGAATTAGATGCTCATTATATAACATATAGTCTGGTAAATTTATAACTTTTTCTAATTTTACTAGTATTTTAAAACAATAAATAATTATATGAATATGTTAATAAATAAATAAATAATTTTAAATTTAAAAAAATATACAAACAAATGAATATAAAAAACTTAAATAAATATATAATAAAAAGTGAAATATATAAACAAGAAATAACTGTAAAAATTTATAAATATTTAAAAAAAACAATTAAACAAATAATAATCTAAAATATAAATAAATAGAAAATAATTAAATGAGAAAAGAAGACCAAATATAAATATAAAACTATTAAATAGAAAAATAAGTAAACAAATAGCATTAAAAAAATAAACAAAATGAAATTAAACAAACAAAAGAGTGAATGGATAAATAAGTATGTAAATAAATGAACAATATATAATTGAAAATTAATTATAATTTATAAAAAAAGAAAAAATTATATTAAAATGTAAACAAATACAAATCGAAAAAATTTATAAAAACAATAAATAAATAAATGAAAAAATTAAAAAATAACTTATTTAATTAATGCGCAAATAAATAATAAACAAATTCAATAAATATGTAATAATAACCAATGAAAAATGTGAATAAAAAATTAATAATTTCACAAGTAAAAAAATATTAAATAAAAATGTATAACAAAATAAATAAGTCTATTTATGAATAGTAAATAAATACAAAAAAAAAAAAATAAATTAAATGAGAATTGAAAAAATCACACAAAAAAATAATAAGAAATAAATGAATATCTTAATTAACAAAAAATTAAATGAAAAATTCATGAAGAATATATAATAAACTACATAATAAATTGTAAAAAAAATACAAAATAATAAATGAATTAAGAAGTCAATAAGAGTATTTTTAAATGTTTTATGAGGAGTGGTAATTAATGAAAAAATTTATAATTAAGTAAATAAATAATTAATTAAAAAAATTATAGGCAATAACTAGGAAAAAAGTATGAGCAAGTAAATAAATACATAATAAATTGAAAAATATATGAAAATATAATAAATAATTACATAAAACCATTTATGAATAAGTAATAAATATAGATTAATAAATAATTAATAAATTAATAATAAATAAATTCAAAAATCAATAATAAACTAATAAGTAAATGAATATAAATAACTAAATAATGAATAAATAAGTAAATAAATTTTGAATGAATGAATAATTATTAAATAAATAAATAAATTTATACAAAAATTAACTAGTAAATAATATATTTTCGCTTTATTAACGCTGAAATGATTTTCAGCCGAACTCTTCTCCCCATAAGTGGTTTCAAAGTAACCATAGATACGTTTAGCTCCAATAGTATGTAAGACGGCAACTGCAAGTGGTTAGCATTGCGTACTGCCACTCGGAAATCCCGGGCTCAAATCCTGATCGGGCCAAGATCCAAAAGTTATAAAAAATTAATTTAAATAAAAACAACTAAGTTAAATTTTCTAATTGTGGTTCCGGGCGCGGATATCCACCTCTCAGTGAGAATTTCTGACATGAAATAAGCCCTTAATAAAAAACCATCAGCCATTCGGAGGCGACTTAGTATAGACTGTGTAAACCACAAATTGGAAGCTGAGCTCGGCTGAAAATCCATTCAGCGGTTACAAAACGCCGATTATATAAAGCAATACCAAAATAAAAGAATGAAGTGAGCAGAAATCGTTTTTACGACAAAGTGGTATCGAATTACATAATCCCGAAAATTCAGCACTTTCCCCTTATTTTTAATGTTAAGATATGTTTCCAAAAAATTGCTTCGAACTTAGCACTGAAAGACGCTCACAAACGGTGTGATGAATTTTTACGGAGGAGGGGTCATAATGTTTTCAATATTATTCTTAATTATTAAGACAATAATTCAATGCGCCAAAATACGTAATGAATCCGATATCAAAGAATTTCTTAATCCCAATTGTTGCATTATTCAACTTCAACTTTGGGGAGATATGAACCCTCTAGAAATTCTTATTTCATATAATAATAATGAAATACTTTTCGAACTACATATTCAGGCTTCAAGCACTTATAGGAGGAAGATGGCTTACTAGGCGATTTTGCTATAAAAAAAAATATTATTATGAGTTGCGTTGAGTTGATGCGGCTGCTGGTCAACGTCAGCACACTTAGGCAAATAGGCACATTGTGATACCGCAGAGGGTGCTGCTTTCTCCTTCTCAAATGATCGAACCATTTCGTGTGACTTATAAAGGCAACGAGAATTCCAATCTTCACTCAGGCCAACTCACCGAGACAGTTGGAGAAGTGTTTCCCAAGAAACTTGTGCGGTGGTCAAGGATGAACAGTGGCAGAGATAGTGCTCGATGGACTCCTCCTTTTCTTCGTCCCTACAGCCGCGGCAGAAAACGTTAGAATAAAAGTACATCCAAATCCGCGAAGCCCCATTAAACAGTGTCCAGTTATTATATCAGTCGTTATGCTAAGGAGAACCGCTCCCGAAGGATAAGATGTTTAGATTTTTTCACGTCCAACTTCGGCCATAGCTGTCTGGTCATATTAAACACGCTAAAATATTGTTATTGTAAAGTAAGTTTTCCACCATCCTCTTGTTCGCGTCTAAAGCTGCAATGAACCTTTGGAACTTATCGGCTACTTATTGAAGTATTGGTTTTTGAAGCAAATTTGTTTGCAGTCAATGGTTAGGGTTACCAATTATACTGATGGTTTCTCCAATTTCTTATCATTAATAAAACTGAATATTTTTAGTAGATGATAAATCTGTAATAGTTTCTTCCTAAGCATCCAACAATGTGAGTAGCAACACATCTATCTTAAAATCATATAAATCTAGCTCACAATTTTCTAAATTCAAGCAAATTATTTAATGGCCCATTAATACCTAGAGCGTTTTTTCACCCCATATGACCACAATATAGTAGACAAAAACATTGTGTTTATTTACAAACACTCACTTTTGTTTTGAACCACAATTTTGCGAATTTTCAGCTCAATTTTTTCTGATATTTTTTTTTTTTTAGAATTTCCCGAACGCACATTTCTTTGGACTAGAGAGTGTATTAGAAAAGCTTCATCCAATAGCGCATGCGCGTTAAAATTTCAGGCGGTTTTTTCTATTGATACAAATCATTTTTATTTTGATCGGCAAATTCGTAATAGAAAGTAACAAAAGTCATTGACATTTGGTGTTTGTAAATAAGCTGCATAGGAAAGAGTATTTCAAGATGCGTTGAGACATAGATACATATGTATATACTGTATATACACGTATATGACTATTTATATGTGCATTTTGTTGCCACACAGCCGGGTACATATGTATATGTCTAGATAAGCATAAATATATGTGCTCTCTTGCACGATCTCTGTCAAAAGCTCTATAGTTCTCATTTTTAGCTTTTTATTTACTTTTATTTTTACTATTTATATATATGTATGCATATTTTGCACTACAACAGTGTTTTTTTTCTGTTTATTTTTCATTTTTCATAGACATTGTTGAGGTCATTTGCAACACCACCGGCATTCCACATTTACAATTCGATTGGTATGGTGAGGATATTTATGGACATAGGCGTAATCATAAGTTGACTGTGAATGTGGCACCGGTGGAGCAATTACTGGCAAAGGCATTATTGGATATTGTGCGCTTCAAGAAATTGGAGTCTTTTATGATAGTTTATGAAAACAGTCGAAGTGAGACATAATTCGCACATATAATTTATGTATAATTTTCCACCTCTTTTTCTCTCTCTCTCTCTCTGTTTATCGTAGATTTGGGTCGCATGGAATATTTATTCAGTTGGCGAAAGATGAATAATAAAACTGGCATCAGATTATGGCATTTCAGTCGTGGCGATGATTATCGTGTTATGTGGAAACAGATAAATAGTCTGCGTGAAAAGTATATTGTTTTAGATTGTCCCGCTGATATACTCATCGAAGTGCTTAATGCCTCAATAATTTTTAATATGACCGGACAATTCAATGTGAGTTTATTTTGTTTATTTTTTATTTTGACTCAAACATCACTTTTTCTGTTAGCAATGGTTTCTTACGAGTTTGGATACCCATACAGCCAATTTTAGCAGCTCATATTTTACGGCATTTCTAGCAGCTATATATGCTGTGCGTTTGCGTCCGTATATTCCGCCACCGGTGCACGATGAGTCGGACGTTTTCGAGGAGGATGAACCAGATCTGGTAAAATGTGTTCAATGTTTATAAGGGCGGGCATTTTATGCATAAGCTGATTTTTCTTGCTAGTCAAAATTTTTTTTCGAAGCACTCTATTTACTTAAAATTAGTGTTCAGCGAACGAATAATTTTTTGTTTTGCAATATTTTTTGTTTAGCATTTTTTTTTATTAAAAGTTGAAAAAAGTAATAATTACACTGACAAAAAAAAAATAATAATGAATCACTAGCAAGTATACCATCGGCTTAGCATTATTTTATTGTTCAGGAACATTTTTGGTTTAGCAACAAAATCTGTTTCGAAACATTTTTATTATGTTGTTTGGCAACAATTTTCGAACATTTTTGGTTTAGCAACATAATCTGTTTCGAAACCTTTTCTTAAGTTGTTTGGCAACAATTTACGTACAACATATTGTATGACACATATTCATTTTTTTTGCTTAGTGATTTGTTTGCCATCATTTTCTTTAGCAATATCTTTTGCTCAATAGTTTTTGTCTAGTAATATTTTATTTGGTTTGGAAACATTTTTGCCTAGTAATATTTTCTGTTTAGTGACATTTTTTGCTTACCAAGGACTTTTATCTGGAATTATTTTATGTTAAGCAATATATTTGTTTAGTAAAAGTTTTGTTTGTTAATTTGTATCCACCATTATTTTTTTAAGCGATACTTTTTGTTTAGCAACTTTTTTAAATAAGAAATTAATTCGTTTAGCTCATTCCCGCTATTTTTTAACTGTTACTTAAATAATACATAAAATGCATATGCAATTCTATATTTTCTCCACCAGATAAGTTCTGCTCGCGGTAAATTACTTTATGATGCGGTGGTCTTGTATTTTAACGCGGTGCGAAATCAAATACGAAGCCAACAATATCGAGAACCCAGAGCGCGTTGTCATCGTGGGTTTTGGCGCACAGGATTGGAGATTATAGAACAAATGAAGATAGTAAGTGGAAGAAGAGAGGAAACTCTAAAAAAAAAAAAAAATAAATAAAGAAAAATAAAAATACAATTAAAAAGACATAAATAAAATAATTAAAAATAAATAAAACAAAAAATGATCAGCTAAAAAAACTTTATTACTATACGAGGTGTGACAATTATGTAATGAGACTGATTATATTGCCCCTTTTGTAGACCTGCGACCTTTCCCTTCTGCCGGCATTCTTCTCCACTCCATTGAGATATTTGCCCTCGCTCTTGCTTATTTAGCTCGCCTGCTGTGTCATGTTGAGTAAACGTGTGTTCGTTACGAGCACGAAAATGGAAAAACGAAATCAAGAGCAACGCGTCGCGATAAAATTTTGCACCAAATTGGGCGAATTTCTCCCCCCGGGACAAACCGAAAATCAAATCTACTATCGCCAAGTACTCGAAAGATTGTTAAAACGAGTTAACGGGGTGCGCCCAGACATCGGTCGTGACTGGATCCCTCATCACCACAACGCGCCGTTCCACACCGTCCTCAGCGTGACCCAGTATTTGGCCTCAAGGGATCATCGTGTTGCAACAACCACCTTATTCGCCCGATATGTCACCCTATGACTTTTTTTGTTTCCTAGCACAAAATCAGTGGTCAAAGGAACCCGGTTTGAACCGATAGAGGATATCTCAGTCGAAGCGTTCCAGAAATGTTACGAAGCATGGAAAACGCGCTGAAATCGTTGTATAGCTGCCCAAGGGGACTGCTTTGAAGGGGATTGCAGACTTGTAGAATAATTTTGAAATACACGGTTTTTATGGAATCAGTCTCATTACTTAAATATCACACCTGGTAAGTAGGTTTTTTGAGCTTATCATTTGCTTTCATGTTATGTTACTTTAAGTTTAAGTTGAGACTTTGCTAACCATACAAACACAATAATATAAAATGTGTTCGTAACGATAAGCTCTGTAAGATGAAATGAAAGTGAAAGCGTTGTATCTTTTTGAAAGCTTTGATTTTTATTGACTTGATTGTTGTAAATTTTTTTCGGCAATGAAAACTCAGTGCAATGTTTTGTTTTTTTTTTATTCTAAAAATTAAAAATTTTGCCTATATTTCATGAAAGCTTTAAAGCTTGAAAACTTAAGCGAAAGCCATTTAATTAATGTATTAAATGTTATTGCAATTCTCTTTAAGATATACGTATATTTATATCTATATTTTTTTGTCACATATTTTGCGCTCATTATTTGAAATTTATTAAAATATATGTATAAACAAAAAAAAAAATTTAATAAATATCTCCTAAAGCTCACAGCACGCAACGTAACTCCGCCCTTTAAAACGCAGAAAATGCAATTGAATGAATATGGAACACGTGATGAATTCAATTTGGAAATATACAATCCCCTGATAGATCGTATTACACACATTTGGAATAAAAATCAAAATTTAGTCCCATACGAAACTTTAGTCGCAGCGAAAGAGAGTAAAAAGAAGAAATTCGATGAGGTACAGGACTATACGGTTAAGCGTGTGAAGTATATAGTAGCGACACGCCTCGGTGAACCATATTTCATGTACCGGTGAGTAAGAGATAATATGGAAACCTTAAATTTCTTAGTGAAAAGAAATTGTTAAAATACATTTATTTTGAATATTTTACAGTCCAGAGCCTGAGGGCGTACACTATGAAGGCAATGATCGATTTATTGGCTACGCGGTAGATTTGATATATAAACTGGCAGAAGAATTGGATTTCGATTTTGTCTTCGAGTTGGTGCCCGATAATAATTATGGCAGTCAAGATCCAAAAACCGGTGAATGGAATGGCATCATAAGGCAGTTAATCGATAATGTAGATAAAAGATGAGCCTAAAACGAAACAATTAATAAAACTCTCTCTCCTCCTACAGAGCGCCCAAATTGGCATATGTGATTTGACAATTACGCAAGCGCGCCGTACAGTTGTAGATTTTACAGTGCCCTTCATGCAATTAGGCGTTAGTATATTATTTTATAGAGAGCCACCACCGCCAAAGAGTCCGTATGGTTTTCTTGCACCATATTCTTTGGATGTTTGGATTTGCTTGTTACTCGCTATAATGGTATCGGCATTGGCTTTGGTAGTGGTAGGACGGTGAGTGTGGTGAATTTAATACAAATGAAATAATGTTTATTTATTCAATTAATTATGATTCTTTTTGTTAACAGTATCTCACATGCCGACTGGGTAAGCCCGATTGCGCATGATCCCGATCCTGCTGAAGTGGAGAATATTTGGAATTTGAATAACACGCTCTGGTTGAATGTTGGTTCGATTTTGTGTCAGGGTTGTGATTTGCTGCCGAGGTGAGTTATTTTGGTGATTAAAAATAAATCATGCTTCAGTACAAATTAGAGGTTTCGTCAATGCTCTGAGTATTTTTGTCCCAGAAATCGATTTCTGCGGATCTGATTTGGTTCCATGGCAACATGCATAACTTTCTCATAGCCCTCATAACTTGGACGAATATTTTGGAAACTTCGAGTTCTAAAATTAAACGAAAATAAATTAATATTTTTGTTATAGGAGAGATTTTTAAACAAGAACTATTTATGAACTATTTTGTAGTGAGCAAAGTGTTTGAACTTTAGTAGGATCTTAACTTTGATATGAGGAATGTACTAAAGGAAGGTACCATTGATCATCTAGTTGATGTTCTTGCAAAAGGTCTGAGTTCCAATTTATTCGAGTAAAAGGAGAAAAGAAAGAAAGAAACTTCGATATTTGTGTCATTTACCAGAGAGTCTTTGATGTATTGCCCATTTTTGGTTTCGTTCTTGCAATCAGGTTTTGAAAAGGATTTTATGTACTGTCATTTCCTTCGGCAATCTGCATAAAATTTGATAATTTGTTCACTTATTTGTTAAATTAGATCAAATAGAAGTGATTATCGTTGTAGGAGCATCACAACATTTAGACAACAAGATGATTTACTTACCGAAGGGTCTGCTATCTTCTACAACAGACTCCAAATATGAGATCAATCGCATTAGAGATGACAGATCGTTTCTCCCCACTCTTCTCGTTCTCCATTTCTGCGGCATCTCTTAAAATCCACTTTCAGTTTTGCTGTAAATCAGCCTTTAAAACAGTAGCCTCTTAAGTATTCTACTGCTGTGCTATCTCCTAAGATTCTATTTTACAAATCGAAGTGTAGTTCAGCTTGAAGCGGTCTGCATATAAGTAAACTCTTTGATAGCAGTTCATTTATAGAGAGGTTAGCATTGCGAACTGCCATAGAAATAGAAATTTAATTTAAATAAAAAATTAAGCTAAATTTTTTAATTGCGGTCAACCCTCGGCAGGGAATGACCACTCCTCCTAGTGTGTCTCGGGCATGAAATAAAGCTCCTCATTAAAAAACCATCATCCGCTCGGTGGCCCTTCATTTTGTTGTCAAAACATCAAGATGCAAAACCTCAAATTGGGGGAGAAGCTCGGCCGAAAATCGCTTCCGCGGTTACAAAGAGCCAACAACATATGAGGTCAAGTGAAAAGTTCATTCGGTTTTTTTTATTGATTTTCTAAAATATGATAACATTGTGTACATTAATCCGATTTAAGTCAGATATGCACCGTTTTGTTCGTAAACTTATTGCTAACGAGATGCCAACTTCATTATACCCCTCTCGTAGAAGTCTGCGTCAATATTGGCAAAAAATTCGGGGAGCCAATTTTCACAGGCCTCTCTTGAAGCCAACTTCTCACCATTAAACGCGTTCGCTCTGAACAGGAAAATATTGTAATCACTTGTTGCCACGTCCGGACTATAAAGTGGTTGCATTAAGACCTCCCATCCGAGCTCCTGGAGCTTCTGGCGCGATACCAAAAACGTGTGTGGCCTGGCGTTGTCCTGATGGAACACAATTCGGCTTCTGTTGATCAAAGCTGGCCTCTTCGGGATGAGAGCTGCCTTCAAGCGGTCCATTTGTTGGCAGTTGAGGGCCGAATTGAATGTTTGGCCATAGGTTAGCAGCTCGTAGTAGAAGATTTCTTGCCAATCCCACCAAACATACAGCAAAACCTTCCTAGCCGTCAATCCGGTCTTAGTCACCGTCTGGGCCGCTTCCGCAAACTTTGACCACGACCGTTTGCCCTCCATGTTGGCCTAAGTGACCCATTTTTCATCGCCAGCCACAATTCGCTTCAGAAACGGGTCGATTTTGTTGCGATTCAGCAGCGACTCGAATATGGAAATTCGGTCCACCATGATGTATTGCGTTAGTTCGTGCGGCATCTAAATATCGAGATTCTTTTTGAATCCGAGGTTATGCAAATGGTTTTTCTGGCTTATCCTTAGTTCCTCAGCAGTTAAATAAGTGCTCACGTGACAGTCTGTTTCCACTATTTCCAATTTTCGACGACAGGCCTTCCAACGGGTGGTGCATCTTTGACATCGAAATTACCGGAACGGAACATAGCAAACCACTTTTGTGCTACACGATCGTTTACAGTATCGAGCCCAGAAACTAAATTAATTTTTTCAGCCGCTTTGGCTGCTTTTTCACCTTCATCGAAGGAAAATTGTAAAGTAAAGCGCGTATTTTCTCTTTGCTGGTGTCCATCTTTTGACGACCTTATATATATATGTATATAAGCTTATTGTTGGGCAGTATGGATAGCAGGTATACCAAGATGTTGCTAGGACGGGTTTTAAGCAAAAGTGAACTAAAAAGAAAAAAGCAAAAGAAAAAGAAAAAAGAAAATAGAACTGTTCCCAAATGCGTAATCGGAATAGGCAAGAGAGCAAGCAATCACACGTTTATGTTCTCAAACAACCCTTGAAATCGGTCACCAACCGCGTAAGCATTCATCTTGTTTCTATTTATTAAGTTTTTTTATGTGATTTATTAACATGAGATTCGCGTTTTTTTAATTTCAGCAAAATATTCTATTTTTTTTTGGAAACATTATTGCCAATTATAAAAAGTTTTCCTGGGGTTTTCCTTTCTAGGGAGTTTTTTTTTAACTAAATACGTGTATGTTCCGAAAACTTCATTTTTAATTACTAAATTTAATTACCAACCTTTTTATTTATTGCCCTCATTAATATTTTTCCCTTCCTGCTCTCTCTCTCTCTCTCTCCTGTTTTGTTTCTCAATATCAGAGGTTCTGCTATGCGCGTATTTACTGCATTCTGGTGGATCTTCTCGCTGCTTCTATCTCAAACGTATCTCGCTAATTTGGCTGCTTTCATCACTGCTTCCAAAATGCAGAGTTCTGTAGATAGTTTACACGATCTCATCAATCAAAATAAGATACAATTCGGTATGTTAAAAGGTGGTAGCACACAATTGCTGTTTTCCGAATCGAATGAGTCGGAATATCGTTTGGCTTGGAGTAAGATGGTTTCAATGAAACCGGACGCTTTCACAGCGAGCAATGCAGAAGGTGTGGATCGTGTGAAGCGTAGTGAGGGTCGTTATGCCTTTCTATTGGAGACCACGACCTTACAATATTATTTGGCGCGAAATTCCGAATTGAAGCAGATCGGTACACCATTCAATGAGAAGCATTATGGTATTGCGGTGCCATTGCGTAAGTGCTATATTATCTGATGCGATTGTTATATTATATTACTCTTTTTATTACTCTCCCATTTACATATTTAAAGCCTATTCTCTCTTTCAGATGCACCTTATCGCTCTACTCTCAGTGTGGGCATATTGAAGCTTAGCGAAAAGGGTGAACTATTTAAATTAAAAAAGAAATGGTTTTCGGCAAATGAGTCTAGTAAAAACGCAAAGGAGGCAAAGAACGATGAATCCCAGTATACTATGGAATCTGTTAGTGGCATATTTATAGTATTATTGGGTGGCATTTGTGTTTCCTTACTAATTGGCATACTTGAGTTCTTGTGGAACGTTGAGCAGATTGTAGTGCAAGAGAAGGTAATTTCTATTGTATTTCTTGAATTGATTAATAAAATATTTGCTACTCATATTTTTATACTTACATCAGCTGCCCGCAATGGTTGTGTTAAAGGCTGAGTTGAAATTCTTCATACGTTTCTGGGAGACACGCAAGCCACTGCATACCTATGCGGAGAGTCGTGGCTCAACCTCAACTGGGTATTCATCGTATGATCAAATGGCAAGTGGTTCGACGGTTAAAAAGAAAAAGAAGAAGAAGAAGAAGAAGGGAAAAAGCAATAAAGTTTCGAGTGATTAACTATAACTATGTACATATGTATAATTTATAAAATATTTATAAGGAAATTCCCTTTGTATATAATAAATGAATAAAACTGAAATTTAAAAAATTATCTGTGTCAACTACATACATTAATATCGGTGTAAAGCGCACTTAGGCCTTAGTGATGGCAGTGTGATTCTCCTGTCTTCCCAAATATTTGAATCATTTCGCGTGCTTTGTTAAATTAATGAGATTTCCAATTTTCACTTAAGCTAGCTCAGCGAGTTAGTCTAAGAAGTGTTTCCCTTGGAACTTTTGTCAAGGTGGTGTTCAATAGACTCTTTCGCTTCTACGTCCATATAGCTGTGCAAAAATCGTCAGAGTAGTAGCCTATTCCTTTTCCGTGAAGCCCCATTAAACAGTGGGCTGCATTGATGCTAATAGAAAACCGGTTAAGAAATGTTTTTTTTTTTCGCGTCAAATTGTAGCCATAGCTCTCTGGTCACATTTACACGTGATCTCATTTGGCCGTTTAGGGTCTGCTTTTTTTTACAAAGTACCAGATTAAGCATATACCTTGTCATGTGAATAGAAGGTTCGTTCCCTCGCTAGCGCGTCTGCTATGCAATTACCGGGTTGGATTTATTCGGAAGACCTTTACCCATAGTTGATTGACACTTTTGGTTACTAAGTAAGGTCCTCTCTCAGCCGTATGCTTTGCAGTCATAGTTTACGTGGTCTATTGGCTTCGATCGAAATTCGTTTCAGCGGTTGCCAAGCGCCAATTATTGTGCTGGACTATACCAAGGTATGAATATATGTGACGCAAACAGGCAATATACAAAATCATTTTTTGTGAATTCTTAATTTCTCTGAAAATTAAAAAAAGATGTTCGACAAGATGGTATCCCTTCTTCTCTGCTGTTAATTTCTTATATGCCTATGACTGTTAGATGTCGGGAAATGGTCAGGTAATTGATGCCACTCCTTCACTGTATGAGATTTGTGATTGTGACCAAAGAATCCTTGACCTTCATTATTCCCCTGAGTATCATTAACGGAATCAAATTACTACCCATATCAATCGAAGAGCTCAAGCTGCCTCGCAAGAACCGCGCCTGCTATTCGGCAAGAAATGAGTCTCCACTTGACACAGACAATCGTCTATCGTAACTTTCCCTCAGCTCGGAAGCTGTCGAATAACCTCGGTACACTGGATATTCAACAAATATCGGTTTGGAGGCGAGTTAAAGTGAGAAAACAAATCCCCTGGGGTCGTGTATATTACTTGTGACCGAGCACATAAAAAATCTACTAATACAGGCTGACATCATCGCTGTCCAAGAAGTGGAAGGACGGAAAAAGTTGGGAAAGTGGGTGAAATCTAAAAGACACCAATTTGGTGTTAGATTTGTAGTGGGTGGTATATTTGAAGAGGATTGCGGATTTGTAGGTCGTCGAGTCCAGACACTCACCGTGGTGGATGAGCTTTTTGCCCCAATCCGAATCAATGCGAGGTTTTTCAATTTTTCGTAGACCTGAGCTCTTTGTGACAAAAGACTCTTTCAATGAGCACCTGATCTGATGTCTAAATCAAGCATGACATTTTTAATACGAGGTTAAAGGAAAAAGTTATCGATCATATTCTGATCGGCTGTCACTCAATTAATTCATTGGATTGCCTCTCACATATCCGCTAAGATTCATACTCCAACCCATCCAAACCAACCGGATTTGATAGCATTTTGTGGTCTACCTTTCTGTTTATTCACTTGTTAACTCACTCAATGCCAAACTGTAAATTCCAAATACAATTCAATTGACACTCCATTTACTATTACAAGAAAACAAATCCCAGCTATTTTACGTAGGAAAAAATGGTCAAATGAAATGCTACTAAAAAGAATGCGAAAAAAAATTCACAAAAAAAAAGCAGTAAATAAAGAAAATACATTTTTGGAGTACCGACTGTGAAATCCCGCAAGCAGCTTAACTCGTATAATCTCCATATCAGTCAATCCACACCGCAATGGCCAATTTAGCCGCAGACACTTGACCCTTTTCTACTTCGACATTTCTCTACCAAATGGGTTGCCCGAGCGGGCTCACGCACACTACAGATTATTCAATTGGTCAACTGGTTTGCTAGGTTATATTGGTTGCTTCATTGGACAGTCTGTCGATGACTGCCTGTGAGTGCTGGTATGCCATGGCGTATAAGGCACTTTCTTTTTTTGGGTTCTTGTACTCATAATTGTTTTTGCCATTTTCATTGTATTGCATATGTATAAGCTGTGTATATATATGCAAACTATGTGTTGTTGCTTTCTAGTTTAACAGCAAAAATGTGTTTACGACTTTTGGCCAAATGGTTTTTGCTTGTCGTTTTTATCCAGTAGGATTTACATTCACTTTTTGCCATTTTCTTTTTTTTTTTGTTCTTCTTTAATGGTTCTCCTTTTCTGCTGCTTTATTTTACTCTTTCTGCTTTGTCGTTAGCTATGATTTTTGAAGGTTTTATTAGCAGTCATTTGAGTTTTAATACTTCTGCTTGTTGGCTGGATGGCGCTGGGTGCGTTGGGTTGAAAAATTCCTCTTGTTATGCTGGGTGTGTGGTAGCAAAGTAGTTGTTGGCGTAACGCTGATACGTGATTTAAATGTTTGCAGGAAACTTAATAACGAAAGACTTACTTTTGTGGTTGTCGGTTGAGTTATGGAAATAGAATTTAAAAAATAAAATAAAAAAGAATGAGATTAAATAATCAAAGTAAAAATAAATAAAGTTAAATGAAATAATAAAGTCTTCTTTTCCTTTATTTGGTGTTGACGCCGCTTACGCTATTACAACCGAATCGATATTAGCGTGCCATTTTTCTCTTCTTTTCGCTGTTTGGAGCCAATTGGAGATACCAAGTGATTCCGAGTCACTGTCCATTGATCCTCCCAACGGATCGGATATCTACCTCTTTCTCTGCTTCCACCAGCGGATACTGCATCGAACACTCTGAAAGTTGTAGTGCTTTCATTCATTCGGATGACATGACCTAGCCAGCGTAGCCGCTGTCTCTTCATCCGCTGAACCTCGTACAGCTCATCGTTCCATCGCCTGTGGTGTTCGCCATTGCCAATGTGCAAAAGACCATAACTGGTTTGCAATACTTTTCCCTCGAAGACCCCCAGAGCCGACTCATCAGATGTTGACATCGTCGAGGCTTCTCCACCTTATAGTAAAACGGGTATGATGAGTGACTTGTAGAGTTTGGTTCGAGGACTTTACCTTTCAATTGCCTATTAAGTCCCAGAGTGATTCTGCGTTGGATTTTCAGGCTGACATAATTATTGGAGTGTATGATGGTTCCTAGATAAACGAAATTATCGCCACCTCGAGGTTATGACTGACAACAGTGACAGGCTGCTTTAAAAACGATGAAAAGGTTTCGATTCGATTCTCTTTTCACTGGCCTTTTCCAAAATTTTACGCATGGTGAATATCTGGCCAATGGTTGTTCTACCAGTTCTAAAGCCACACTGATAAGGTCTAAACAGTTTGTTGGCGATGGGCCTTAGTCTTTCACACAAAATGTTTTTTGGATCTTATATGCGATGTTGAGAAGGCTTATCCCACGGTAGTTGTCAAAGATTTTTTTCTACGCACAACTACATGCGATTCGCCTTGTCACTTTAGCTCGCCTTCAAACGGATGCTGGTTGGCTACCCAGAGGATATGTGGTCTAAGACCGGAAGTCGTGAGGTGAGTGGCAGTCAAAAACTTGCTTGAACTTTTACACATTTATGTGAACTACGATTTTTAATTGTTTCAGGCCACTAAAATAAAATAAAATAAAATAAAACAAAATAAAATAAAATAAAATAAAATAAAATAAAATAAAATAAAATAAAATAAAATAAAATAAAATAAAATAAAATGAAATAAAAAAAATAAAATAATATAAAGAAATTGAAATAATATAACATAAAATAAAATAATATGACAAAAATATAAAATATGCAGGGACCGCCCGATTCTGACAGATAGAAGTGCCCAGCATAACAGATAAGATATTATTCTTGTCGGGAAAAGGGACAATATAGATTTTCTTATTGTTGTTGGTATACCTAATTCTCATAATATCCAGGAATGCTGTGGCGAAAAGGGTCCAAAATATTAGCAGTTGGCAGCAGAACTAATGGCACTTGGACAAAGCTATAGTTGTACCAATTATTATTTCATCGATAGAAGTAGTTCCCTAAACCTTGCTAAAGAAGATGTTGGAGGAGCTTCAACTATTATCAACAACTTCAATTGTTCGTTCGCTTTTGGATATTGAAATGAAAATACCTGGAAATAATTTATGAAACATCCGATATAAGATATGCTACCCAAAACGGCGTACAATAGAGAAAAAGAAATAACAAAGTTAAAAAAAAGTCGACTAAAAATAATTCAAGTAAAATAAATTACGGTTAAATAAAATAAAACTATATAAAATAAGAGAAAAGCTTATTAAAAAAATTAAATTAAATTAAATAGTAAATCGGTTTTAGATGTCCTTTTTATATAATGTTTTATGTTATGTTAGTTAACGTTCATTGAAATTTTTTATTAAATTTTTTATGAATTATTTAAATAAATAAATGACATTTATATAAAAATTTTTATTTTCTTATTACATAGAAATGTTTGAAGTCTAACATTCCATTTAAATTGTCCACATTAGTCATTGCGCTAATCATTCAGTGCCACAAACAAAATTCATTTTAAACATTTTCCTATTGCACATATATATTTTTGGAATTACTTTAAGAATTCACAGGCATAGTACATATAAACATAGTATATTTTCGGCCGAAAATAATTAACCCTTATTTGTCCATTTTATTGTTGCTGGCGCCATAAAACTGTCATCAAATTACCTACGTCCAGCACAAAGCTCGTAAAGACTGCTAACAATCACATAAGAAAATGGCCTAAGGGTGAGAGACGAATCATTGTGCCTTAAAGCGGATTTAACTGTCAAATATACCTACATACAAATACACAGTATGCTTTCACTTGTGTATCTGCTATGCTTC